TGGTGTAAATTTCCGACTCCTAGCTGATCACGGTCGTGAGCTATTAATTATTATTAATGGCATTTTCATTAATTAACTCATATCTCCGTCAAAAAGGCGCATGGGCCCAAACTAACTTGGGGTTTTTCACTATTGACTATTCCCTACATGATGAAAATAGTCTGAGTCGAAAAGCTTTTAATCACCTCGAGAGGTTCCCTCGTTAGTTATTTACAGATGTAACTTTTAGTTTTGACAGATAGAAGGTTAATAGAGAGTATTTAGAATTCCTGATACATGAAACTTTTACCGTTTGACATAGAAGAAATAATTTAACAAAAGTGTAAGATTTAATAGAAACGAAAAAATCGGAAAAGACACTCATCCAAATTAGATTCCTCTGAAGAATGCCAAGAGGTTCTGAGTTTCTTCTTCTTAAAGTAGATCTTGATTGAAAACGAGTATTCAAGTTCGTGTATATTTTACATGAACTCATGGGAAGTAAGAATTGCAAAGTTTAATCTTCCCATCCGAGACTCATTAATTCTACAAAACACATTTCTCTTTTCAAAGCGTTTATTTGCAATTGGAAGTGGTGAATTAGGTGAAAGACCACGTTTTGCTTGGCAGACTGGACATGGAACTCATATAGCTGCTGTTGGGTAAGAAAAAATGAAAACATTTTCTTTTCTGCCTGGATACTTTTGAAGTATTTATTTTAGTACTCTAGATATTATCACGATCCGTAATAGACAAGGTGAAGAAATAGCTCAAATACCATTAAAAGGGTATGAATTTTTTGAGTTTACTTTATTTTCATGCTACATTTGTCTTTTATTATTATATTTTTAGCCCCTGTTTGTGTATGGTATGGGACAAGGATGGTGATACCCTTGCTGCTGTGAGTGAAAAATCAAATTTTGTTTATTTATGGGATTCAAATAGTCTGAAAACGAGTGTATTCGATACAACATTGAAGTATGATATATTTCATGGACTCCATAATGTAAGTGGTATAATTTCGTTTCTTTTTAGGGATAACATTACTGTTATCGCTTGGTCAAAAGCAGCTCCCATTTTGGCAATAGGTTCAGTTCGTGGCAATGTCGTTATTTACGACCAATCAACAACAAAGTAAATTCATTAACGATTTTTATAGTTGGTCTTTTCTATCATGTATCCAACCTATCATTTTAGAAAATTACCGTTACTGGGTCAACATTCTCGTCGTATAACCACAATGTCTTGGAGTAGAGATAATCTTTTGGCAATTGGTGCTGAAGATAATCGTATATCTGTAATGACAGTAACTGGTGAGACAATTCAACGATGCGAAACAAGTGATGTACCAAAAGAATTAAAATTTTCGGAAATGAAAAGAGAGCAGCGTGGAACATATGAAGAAAGCACGGTATAAACTGCATTACAGAAAGTTGTGATTAATTGATGAACATGTTCTGGTACTGATTTAGGTTAGTTTAATTATTGGTAAAAAATCTCTTGGTCTTTGGACTGTAGGTGATGATGGACAATTATTCACATTGAATTTTCAAGACAAATATGCTGATATCGTGGCATATCAATGGTAATTCTATTATAAAAGCATATAAAAAGTTTTAATGAATTACTACAAATGATCAAGTTCTTCTTTGATAGGTTTGGCGATGGTTATATAATGATAGGTTTTAGTGCTGGATATTTTATTGTTATATCAACTTACCATAAAGAAATTGGTCAGGTAACATGGTGAGATCATTTTTTTTTTGTGTTTATTGTAAACAAAAGGACATTATTTTAACACGATCAAAAACATCTTATTTTCTGTTTAGGAATTACACAAAACTCGTGATCATAAAAATTATTTATCGAGTATTGCGCTATCAACATCTCTAAACAAAGCTGCAACTTGTGGTAACGGTGGGTAAGTTGACTGTTTGTTTGTTTTCTTGAGAAATTACTATACTATATTCATAGCGTTTTTGTTATATATACTTTCAGAGTTAAAATTCATGAATTATCTGATCAATATGTAATCGATTCCATTATAAATATTGAAGAGGGTAATGAAAATCTAACTGGAATTGGTGAGTAATTTCATGTACTTTTATTTTGTGACATTTATTTTAAAGTTTATATTTTTTATTTCATTTAGGTTGGAATACTGATGGTCAATTATTAGCTGTTGCCAAAGCAAATGGGTCAATATACATTTATTTGACAAAATTATCCATGTTAGCAAGTGTATGGCAACAAAAAATTGCATATATGGCATCGTTATGTGAAGTATCGATCTATGATCATCAGACAAAAACAAAAGTATAGATATCGTATTGAATATCAATTACAATAATTAACACTGATATCTGTGATATTTAGATCGATAATGTTAATTTAACAACGGAAATTGAACCGAGTGTATTAGCAATGAGTGATGTTTATATAGCAGTTGGATTTAATAATCGAGCGTTATATTACAGAATTCAAAGTGTTGAAGGTATAGAATCTAATATATTTATGATAACATTGTTGTTAAATATATGAATGATTATTGTTTTTTTTTTGCTTAGAAGTGATCAAAGCATCAGAACACGATTATTTAAGTACAATATCAGAACTTCAAATTAATTCACAATATGCTGCTGCATATATGAATGGTCAAATACAATTACATACGGTTGAAATACAGAATGAATTTTTTAAAATATATTCTTTCATATATCATCTTTCTTTTTAAATATTTAGATTGAAGAATCTGATCGAGTTGAAGAACGTGAATCGATTATGTTTCCGTTGGCTGATTCGGGTGATGGAAAAATTGTTTGCTATAGTTTAACAAAAGATTTTCTCATTTATGCCACGGATGTATGTACATGGTTTTGTTTTTTATTTTTTTTTGCAGGAATTATTATTCTACATTTTTATTTTTCTTCTTATTTTTATAATAGAAAGGTATATTGAACTTTTTCCTAATTGAAGAATGGAAAATGGTTAACAAATATAAACATACATCAAGTATTCATAAAATATATCCTGAAAATTTTGGTACAAGCGTCGCTTTCATCGATCAGAAGAATGATGGTTATTTATATAATGTTGTTAGTATTGTTTATCAAATTAAAAATGAACGATGATTTTGAATAAAACAAGTAATTGTTGTTTTTTTAATATTATTTTAGTTTTTTGACAATGTTATTCGAATACCCAATTTATCATTGACAATAAAATCTATATTATGGGAAACAAATGCTGATAATGAGGTAATATAATTAGATATATTTATTAACTATATTCTACAATGTTTTGTTATATTCTCTTAAGTGGATTTTTGTCACTTGTGATTCTGATATGATCACAACATATTCTGTTTATCGTGATTCCTTGAAAGGTATACTGAATTATTTTTTTTGTCTCATTCATATAGTAATAATGTGTTTGAAAATTTTATTTATCTCTAATTAGGTCCTCAAATAATGTTTGTTGGCTCTTCTCGTTTTCCATTTGGATCTGTACCATTATTATTAAATGCCGGTTTATTGTTGTTATTGGATTCGAGTGGAAAAATAGTACCAATGAAATTGGATACATATGGATTTTTAAATGATGGAGAACAAGAATATACATTAGAAGATGCAACAGATAGATTATCAAAAGCAATATTAATGAAGCGGTATAATTGACAAAATGATAAATATTTATGAATACAATAATCTGTAATGTCTTTTGTTTAGATATGATGATGCTCTTTTTTGGGCAAAACAAATCAATGATAGTAGTGAATGGAATAAATTTGCAACAGCATTACTCTATTCTCTGAATATTGATTATGGTATTTAAATTACTAATCATTTTTCATTTACCCAAAATTTCTTTCTTTTTTCAGCTATTAAAGTATTTCGAGAAATTGGTCATTCAGGCATGGTCATGTCATTAGAAGAAATTAAAGTATGTAGTCTAATAATAATTAAAAAGTATATTTTAAACTACAGATTTATATTATTCTAGCATGTTGAAGATAAATCATTGGTATCCGCTCATTTTGCTACGTTATTTGGCGAATATGATTTGGCTCAAGAATTATTTTTAAATTCTGGAAATCCATTAGAAGCTTTACACGTTTGTTTCTCAAATAGTTTTGTTATCTTCTTATATATGGTAAATGTACCGTGTTTTTTTTAAAGATGAGACGTGATTGTATGCAATTTGAAGCAGCAATGACATTAGCTAAAGCATATGATACCGCACAAATTCCATATATATCAGCATCACATGCCGAACAGCTTGAATTTACGTAAGTTAAATTAGGATTCCCACTTACTTTTTATTCACTTATACTAACTAAATGAATAAAAAGTAAATATCATAATATTTCAATACAAAACTGTTCTCGATGATTTTGTTTTTTTAAACAAAAAATGTTATATTATTGTTAAGACTTTTTGTGAGTTTCAAGTGATAATACACTGGAGTAATTTTAATGCGCCAAATGAGACTTGAGATATTGTTCCTGATTCAACCAAGTATTAATGAATTAATAAAACCAGTAATGACAAAAGTGGAATAGAATTTGTTTAACGCACAGTAACGACTGTACAAGAAGATTAAATAGGTCGAAAAACATGATGCAAAACAATTTTCTAAGATGTTTCTTGTCTCAAACCATACTTAATTTGAGAATGTGATGTATAAAAAAGAACATTGTCATGTTGTTGACAAGAACATTTTTGCAGGAAAAAAAGGCGATTTTAATAGTATTTAGAAACGAATATTGTTCATACGAAAGTTGAAAGTCTCAGACAAGATTATGTGCACAAAACATTTCACGGGGTGTGCAATTAGACGAACGGGTGACTTGAGCTCTGTTTTCTTTCTGTTGTTCCATGTTGTCGGAAAAGAATTTGTTTCATTCATCGGTTGCCCATTGCCAAATTTTCTACGTGACTTGTCTCATCAAAATGAGAAAATAAAAAAACACGTTTTGTTTCATTTTTTCATACTAAAAAACGGGTTAAAACGCGTTTTTTTATTTTCTCGTTTTGATGAGACAAGTCACGTAGAAAATTTGGCAGTGGGTGTACAACGTCCCAAATGGCTATATATTCTTGCAAGGATTTGTTAAAGTATCCGTCGATTGTATTCTTTTAATCGCTATCACAATATTCATATAGTAGTTTTCGAGTAAAAGTAAATAAGTATTTCCTATTTCCTTTAGGAATGTAAATTTTGATTCATCTTGTCCCTAGTAATTAAAAGCAAAGTTTCAACTTTAAATTAAATATAATGTATTATAAAGAAGTATGAAATTTATTCGATCACACTCTTCTACATAGGGGAGACTCGGCAAGTGCAGTGAAGTACTACGAGCAAGGTATAACGAAGAAAGAAAGTGATCAACAACATGATCAACGATGTTTTGCCGGTTTAGCAAGATGTTACATCAGAGTGGGAGAATTGAAAAAGTAATAAAAAAAGTGTATGATTTAGGTAACAGCACTTAGTAGCCGTGTGATTCATTGTTTTGTAGAGGTGTCACAATTGCATTACGTTTACCTGGAAAAGAAATTAAAGAAGAATGTGCCAAACTTCTTGAAACGCTAAAGGTAGTTTCTCTAACCGTTAAAAAATATTGGAAATAGAAGTCATTTTCTCTTTAGCAATGGACTGAAGCTGGTGAACTTTTTGAAAAAGCAGAATGTTGGGATAGTGCTGCTATTTCTTATATTAAAACAAAAAACTGGTACTGTTATTATTTTATCTATATTTTTGAAATGATGTTCAAACATTATAGCATCCTTTCTATTACTGTCTATTTCAGGGCAAAAGTTGGTGATATTTTACAAAATGTAACTACACCAAAAATTCATTCAATGTACGCTAAAGCAAGAGAAAGTGAAGGAAGATATCGTGAAGCATTTGCAGCGTATATGAAAGCGAACGAATGGGAAAATGCAATAAGGTATATGCTAATTTGAAATAATGAAAAAAAAAAGAAGTGATTTCTTTTCACTTTTAGCAAGAACAAATAAATTATTTTTCTTTTATATAATTGTAGAATCCAGCTAAACCAACTGAAATCTCCAGAACAAGCAGTCAAAATTGTTCGTGAAACACAAAGTGTTGAAGGTGCCAAAATGGTGGCAAGATTTTTTGAATCAATAAACGATTATAGTTTAGCAATACAATTTCTTGTGTTATCAAAATGTTATAATGAAGCATTTTTAATGGCACAACAACGGGGTTTCATGGAATTATATGCACAAGTGATAGGTGAGTGATATTTTACACACATCATTCAAACTAAATATTATATTTTTATTTTAGAAAGTGTTCTAAAAGATGGTCGAGAAATACCATTTGAAGATCTTGAGAGTACAGCGATCTTTTTTCAAAATCAAAACAATCATCTATTAGCAGGTTTGTATAGTTAGTGTAGTTAAATTAATTTGATTATTATTATTAAATTTTAATTATAGGAAAATTTTTTATGTTTGCTCAAGATTATAATCGAGTATGTTTCAGAGTACATAGCAAATGTATATTTTGAATGAATCAGTATTCATTCTATTTAGGCTTTAACACATTTAATGCGTTGTGCCGGATCAAATGAAGCGAAAGGAATTGATTTAGCTATTACTTGTGTTGGAAAAGCGCGTAGTCAACAACTAACACAAAAATTACTCGATTTTCTACTTGGAGAAAAAGATCAAATACCAAAAGTATATTATATTCGATTGAATGTTATCTATCTTGAATTCATTTGTTGTTTTTTCTTGAAATATTTAAAATTTTCAGGAAGCAAAGTATTTGTTTCGATTCTATCTCAGTTTGGGCCAGTATATAGAAGCATCAAAAACGGCTATTATAATCGCACAACAAGATCAAGAAGCCGGTATAAAGCATAATATATTATCTCATCTAATTTATATATAACAACTATCAAATATTGTCTATAGGAAATTATCGGAGTGCTCGTGATGTTTTGTTTACAATGCATCAAGAATTAAAAAGTCAGCAGACAGCTATACCGTTTGAAATGTCGAATAGTCTTATGTTATTACACAGTTATATTCTTGTTAAAGTTCAAATCAAACTCAATGATCATGTTCGTATAATAAAAATAAGTCATATTTCTCAATATTAGACAAATTCATTTTGCATGTTGTAGGTAAGAGCAGCAAGATTATTAAATCGTGTTGCACACAATGTTAGTAAATTTCCATCACGTAAGGGATGTTGTCTATCGAATTAAATAAATAATTTATGTATAATTCTTTTTTAAATAGATGTTGTCCAAATTTTAACAACAACAGTTGTTGAATGTCAAAAAGCTGGTAAATATTTATTGATATTCGAAGTTATATTATCTACTACTTTGTTTATGTTTAGGTATGCATAATTCTGCACTTAATTTTTCAATGATATTAATGCAGCCTGAATATCGTGAACAAATCGATCCAAAATATAAGAAGAAAATTGAAGCTCTTGTTCGGTAAGTATGTGGTAGTAATTAGAAAATATATTTAGATTAATATTTCATTTATTTTTTCAAGAAAACCAGAAAAAACTGAAAGTGATGAAGATTATTCATTGTGTCCGAATTGTAATCAACGTGTTCCCGATTACGAATTACTCTGTTCGAGTTGTCAGTTAGCATTACCCTATTGTATAGTAACTGGTGCACATATTATCCGTGATGATCTATGTTCTTGTCCGAGTTGTGATTTTCCCGCAATATATTCAGAATTTTTAAAGTATATTTAAAATATTTATAATGAAAGTTTATTTCATTTATTATTATACTAATTTATTTTTTAGATATTTGTCAATGGATGACAGTTGTCCAATGTGCTCGAATAAAATAAATCCATCCAATCTTATTAAAATGGACAATGCTGAACATTTCCTAAATCAAGCAGCAAACTTATGATTACTAACTATCTCAATGTTTTTATTAATATTGTTATATTTATTGTTGATTGTTTTTATTAGAAAATTTCTAGATATTTTCATCTATGAATGCGTTGTAGAAAAAGATATAAATAAATGTAATCATGTTATGCATACAATAGAGAAGATGTAAATAAATTCTTTAGTATAATATTGTTTCCAGCTCCATTGTTAAACATACAAGCAGAAATAGATGTTTTTTGACATATACATATATATATATATATACATTCAATTTTTCGTCTGTGATCTCTGCAAAAGTTTCTGTTTAATTTCAACATGCACACACATACACACAGTACTCACGCGTATTACGGACCAAAGCGTCGACCATTATCGAAACCTTGATTAAATTTTTCAATGTATTTAAGATTTTCTTATGGTACTGCACAGGTTAAGAAAAAAGATAATTTTCATCGGATAGGTTACAGGTTATTCTCTCTTTAACCGATTTTTAGCATATAGAAAAATTGATACAAAAAGGCTAGAATGATGTTCTCAAAAGATGATGCTGTTAGAATGGTGGGATAAACGTCATTTATTCTCAATTAGAATTCTTGGCAAATAGTATATTTGGTATACTAACCAGTTCGACAATATTTGAACGTGTATTCAGTGCATTCTTAAGCATACTTGAAAGCCGAAGACAACGATTAAATCGAAATGTAATTTATGGTATTCTTGTACTGAGAAACTTTAGAAATATGTGCTTTTTTGATAGAAAAATAAAATAAAATAGTTAAATAAAATAAAAAAACTTGAATTTGATATTTTTGCAACAATTTCTTTTTACAGGTGTTGATTTCAAGAACCATGAAGATTCATTATACTTTTTGATATGTATGACGTAAGGATGGTAGTCATGCTATACTGAAGAAGCCGAGTATCGACTCTTCAAGCTTGACCTACCAGAGTGTTGAAATAAGATTATCAGCAAACCTACAAAAAATTTAATACTAGTACGAAACGTTCGAGTAAAAACAATGCTCGAAAGTCATTTGTATGTAGAAATATCTGATTTATCATTGGCTAATCAAATTCAGCATGTACTAATGTGCTCTAGAAACTTTTTAAGAGAGAAAAATTTCTTCAAACAGTTAGCCAGCTAGTAGTAGTAAATTTAGCTAATAGCCAGCAACTTTTTCGGAATTTTTTTATAAATTTCTCAGAATTTTTCGAATAAAATAATCGTTTAAGTGATTTCAACTATAACTTTTAAGTCGGTAAAACTGATTGACTACACAAAAAAGTATTTACATGATATGCTAAAAATACCCGCTATAACGGCAGTAAAATGATGTAAAACTGGTCTATCTTCCCTTCAGTCACATCTAGTTCATGAGTATAAAACAAGAATAAATAATAAAGTCAATAGTTAGTTTCAAAAAAATTTTGAACAGTATACCCAGCTAATTAGCATCTACAGATCAATTAATCGTGACAGTGGAAAAGACTGGAAAAATACTCTAGGCAACGAACCAGTTGTCGTCATTGCATTCAGTCATTCAGAGATTCAACTCACCTTGGCATTGTTTCAGTCAATGCAAAACTATATGTCTTATTAAAAAATTTCTTTCTCAGTATTTTTTTAGTAGTTTTTCGTAATATTCCCGTTAAGATATTTATTCTCAATATGATTCAACGCTGACCTTAGTTAAAAAGCACAACGCATACAAATTACAATTACATCATATATTTTCTTACCTTCAGACCAGATCATTTTGACATACGCTCGCATCTTATTCTATCCCCAACAACAGCGTATTTTGTAGAATAACGACATTTTTTCTCATTATTCTGTTTCTATTTTCGGGATGAATAGACCCGAGAAGAGATCAGAATATAATAGAATGTGTTGTTGTCGTACTATATTTAATTATTTATATAATCATCTTCTATTTTCTAAACGAATAAAATTATAAAGAAACAGAATGTAAATGCTCAACTGACTGGCCGCTTGCATGGAATAAGGATTCTAATAGCAGCAGCTTTTCGTAGTTAATTTTCAAAATTCCATTTATTTCAATTATTATTCAATCTGAACATCGAATATCCAATTTTAGCAACAGTAACAAGATCAATATGATTCGAATTTGGTTTTTCATACTGATAGTTAAATCTAAAAATAATTTTAAATAAAAATTAAATTGAAAATAGTGAAAATATTAAAATACCATGAGCTTTGCCAGTAATTTGTGATTTCTACACATTTTAATCTATTTTTCAAGTATTTAAAATTAATTTTTCTACCGATAGGGTAATTGATTCTGAGTTTTGCACGCTGACGCACTGTATTCAGTGAAATTTAATTTTCTTGAAAAAAAAACATCTTATTTAGTCTTAAATGTGATATTTGTGTACAGAATGGTAGACTACACATATTTAATGCGTTTTTATGAAAATGTAAGAAAAAACTGTCTGGGAATGCTGATGAGTATGACAGGCGTCAAAAATCCAATATCGAAATTTCAGGAAGTCAAGTGATGAATGATGCATAGCCAAGACGTCAGCTTGATGTTTATAAAAGATCAGTTCTATTTAAGACAATTTTTCAGCTCATCTATTCTCCTTTTTTAGTTTTGGTAGATGCAACGTTAAAAAACTCTAAAACATTGATGGAATTTGAGTTCGGTTCGTTAAAAAGTTATTGGACTTTTGTTGAAAGCCTCAGAAAGCGGTAAAAATGTGGCACTTCCTAAAAATACCACCTCATCTACTGGTTGATCCGCAAATCCTACAGAGAAACTAAATAGAAGAACCCTCTTGAGCTCATATTGTAAAAGTTGAAATAAAAGATCTCTTTATTTTTCAGTTGTTTACTTGTAAATTTTGCAAAATTCATAATAAATATTTCCTATTGAAAGTAAATTCTCTTCTCCACTGAGCACATATAAATGTGCGCTTGAAGAAGCGAGAAAAGGTCATTGTGCGCATGTGATAAGATGACAAACTGTACCTTTTTTCTTTCATTCGTCAGTTGCTATAAAAAGACATAATACATGTGACAAGGAATGCCTGGACTCGAATGAATGAATAAAACGCGCTACGACCACGCGCTACGGCTCATTCTCTCATAACTGTTTCTCTCTCATTGATTCGTAATACTCCGTAATAACTGAGACAAAATTCAAATTTGCTCAAAGCATGAACTTGAAAAACAGCTTCCTTTTAAAGACATAATAGAAGATCTCTCTAAAATCTTTATTCTTAAGGACAGAATAGAAGACCTGAGTCTTTTATTGTGTCATCCCCTTTACTGTAGACTATTTATAGTTAGTCATTTTATGAACTCTCTCTGAAAATAATCTTTTTGAATATGATCCGGTAAATTGACATGACATCGTGTTCACATGATTATAATGTGTTTTTCATTGAGTATACTTGTAGATAAATCAGTCAACTTGATGAAGATACGAGGTATTATTTCCACTGTATAGTTCTGTTCCTCTTACCAGCATAGCAAAAAAAAATGTGCATAAAACATTGTAAGCAAATCATAAAGAGATAATAATTGAAAAATATGACAAACATTCTTCTTGCTCATCGATCTTGTCTATCGAGAAGAACTTCAGTTGCTCATTCAACTGAAAACATTTCAGAATATATATCTGCTAATTCGATTATATTGTTAAACAAGCCTAACGGTCTTATTTGAATTACTTTGTTTATTATCATGTAATCAAAATTCATCCTACCATAGGTATGATTATGATGATGGACAATCTTTTTAAAGGTGAACTACTTCAAGATCGATAAACAAATCTATCACCTTTTCAGTATAGCACGTTTTGTACCAAAGAAAATGAACGATAACGGTAAATGATTGAGACAAAAATTTATCAACTATTGTCTTGACTACTGATTCATTTCTCTAAGCCTTTTCTGAACACGTTAGCGAAGCAGTAATCTTCATCGTGATTGTAATGCTTTACTATGCTTGAAACAGTTCTACATTGAAGGATCTTAATTTACCTTGTTTTCGATCTTAGCCATTTGCTAGGTACGTTGCTTGCTCGACAATTGCCTTTTATCAGAAAGAAGAGGACAATGGTTTACTTGTTTTTTACTGTATCATATTGAGTAGAGCTTTTACCAGTACGGCTATTTTCTAATTCATTCGATTTTCCAAATGGTGGATAATATCCATAAGATAATTAAGAAACTATGGTTTATGAACCGTTTTTTGGACTGCTATCACCATTCTTGTTTGGTTACATCGCCAAACTGAATAGACTGATCCACTCAAGACTAGTAGCTAAGTAGGCTGCTAAGATTCATGTTCGGACGACAGTGGAATGAAATGATCTATCTGATGAGATAATTACATCCATTAGTCTCAGACATTCAAGAGAAACCTTAGAAAATGGTTACTTGTTATTTTTGTTTAAGTTGCATCTATTTTTCTGTGAATGTGTTTTTGTTTTATAAGCGATCATTGAACCTACTGTCTAGACAATTTTACAATAAATACAATTTTACAACCTGTTACATTTGTCCTATGGTTTCCAAATAAACGTCAATCAAATCATTCAAAACTCTTATATACAAAACAGTGATTTTCTTTGAAAAACTTGATTAAAAAAAAACTCCAGGAAATAGCATAATCATCGATTTTACGCATTTATAATCACGAAACTGAGATTAATACAGATTGAAAAGCAAGAAGATCAATTTTGTTTCCGTGAATTTTGAAAACGCAACATCATTACAGTTGAAGAATTATGTTTAGTCTAGATCTGGAATAAACTTTGCAAAGGTAAGTAAGCTGTGTATTGGAAATCGTATACTATTAAGAATAGTGAGTGTGTAAGCTCGATTTGTGACGAAAACGAGGACTAATTTTTTTCTGTATAGACTTGTCTGTTATATAATGTTATTATGAATAGAAAAAAAAGGCATCATTTATTAAGAGAAAAACTATTCGATTTCCTATACTGCTTGAGATATAGAAGAAATTCAATTCTCAAATATTAAGAGGCAGATTTATCTATTCATTTATTATCTTGTTTGTCTTACTTCTTTCCCTATATCCGGTATTAGACTATTTGTTTCACCCTCCTCTCACTCAATATTTTCTCTATTTTTTTTCCTTATTCTTAAAGTAGGACTCAACATCCGATTTTACATTTACAAACTACAATCTACTTGAATTTGACACTTTTTATTCGCCTATACCCAGCCGATGTTTTTATATAGTCTCTTCTTTAGTAGAGGAGGATGATGATGTTATATAGCCTACGAGAAAGAAGTTAAATGATATAATTGTCATTGTTAGATATACGTACGACAAAAAGAAAAATTTTTCGATTCTGTGTTTTTTTAACGATTTTCGTCAATTCTAAATAAGAATAAGAAAAAAGAAAAAATTTTCCATCATATTCTTCGTTCGCATTACTCTAATAACTAAAGTGTCGATTCCACATGATTACACTAAACTGATAATTCAGTATAAAAATAACGACGTATTTTCGAATATGGAATGAATGTTTTACAACCGTGTAATGATTGATAGAGGATATTAAATTTTTTTCGAGAAAAAAGTTTGTTTATTTGACAAAAATAATAAGTTTTTATATAAAAACTAAATTTTTGATTTTATAGTGTTTTCTATTCAAAGGTTAGTAGCATTGTATGTATGATAAAAAATTAAGATTAAAAATTTCTAATATATGCTGTATCGAGCCAACAGCTGTTTTACCAGTAAGAAATTGATTTTATCTGAATCGTAAATCTAAAAATCTTCTAAAGAATGGCATTTCAATTACTTATTATTACGGTAGTGCTTAAAAAAAGTCACAGTTAATTAGTCAAATGGGTCATCTCCTCAAGTGTTTCAAAGACTCTTTCATCCTTTTTTCACTCTGATGTACATTTTTCGTTGTTTGTAATAAATAAGGTTCGGTTTTTTTTTTTTGCTCTTTAAATAATGAGCTTCTAACAATAAAATCTTTACTATTTTTAAAGTTCGTAATCTTGCCAAAATTCTTCGTACTTAAAACTAAAAAATAATTACGATTCTATACCTACTTTTGGGTTGATTTGTCTTAGAATATAAAATAATCAAAAGAATTTTTTTCTTTTAAGAAAGGCCAACTGAGATCTGTATCTTAAGCATTCTTAATAACAAAAATGTATAAAAATATTGTTTCTTTAAAACACGTATGTTTCTTATTATTATCGATCTAGAATTTTGCAATCAATTCAATAACAGAAACATTAATTTTACGGCAACAAAAAAAAAGTATTCATAAATATTCTTGAAAATAGTTTTTTCTTTTCATGCATCAAAGAAAGAAAACAAAAAAAAAAATAGACTAGACTTTATATACACAAATCCGAGATGTCTAATTATTCTTGTTGTAATCGACATTATTAGCATTTTTTTAGTACTTCTTTGGTAAATGAATTTTCTTTTTTTATGATAGGATAAGACATTTCATATAATTAAGTCTTTGAAATATATAAAGAGTTCAAGAATGTCCTTCTCTGATTTACTACACGCACTATCATCTTTAAAGATGGATCAAAGTTCTTATTGATCTTTTCTTTCTTACATAGTCACGAACATTGCTCAAATGTCGAAGAAAATAATGTTTTTTTTAAGCACGCATTTCTATTTAGATAATAATAGAAGTATATATTAGTACAATAAAGTAGACTACATTCCTTGTAAGAAAAATGAGTATAGCATTATTTTTCTTCGTTTTTTTTATTTTATTTTTTGCTTTATATTCTCTTCTTACATCTAGCGAGATATTGAAGTCAACATCATTTTTGATATGAGTGAGCGACACACGTTCTTAATTGGCACAAGATTTCTTTTTTTCGCATTTAGAACATTTTTTTTTTTTGTTTTGTTTTGTTCGATGTTCAATAATCTAAAATTTTCTTAGATCTGTTCTCTCTTCTCTTATTGTTGGGAACGGCATGCGTACAGAATAGTATATATACTCGGAAACTTCTCTTGTGTATCAATATACATCTCTAAATATTTTTTCCTGTATTGCATGTATTTCCGTTCATCTTGAACAAAGAAAATCACCATATTTATTATTATTTAATAGAATGATAATAATAATCATCTTCATCATCTCCATTGACTTTTTTATTAAGAAACTTGTGTAATAAAAAAACCTTTCCTTCTCATTAGAAGAGAGGTTCAGTGGGATACATAAAAAGAAGAAAAATTTCTTCTCATACTAATATTGATATCACAATGTTTCGTTAACAAAAACAAATATACATCAAGAGATACCCATGTAGAAAAACATGCATATCATATATTAAAGTAGGTGAGTGAGAAAATGAGAAAGATTTTGGATTAGTACTATTTATATGACGATCATAAAAGGCTTCCGACTCACTCTTTACATTGCAAAAGGTACATAATAAACTATAGACAAAAGGTACGATTCTTTGGCTAGAAGAGAAGCAGATTTATATTCGGAATAGAAAATCATTTCCACAGCATCGTAATGTTGCCAGTATAGTAAAAATTCTATTTCAGTTACTTTAATATATGTATATTTACGTGTTCAGTCAATAAACATGAGATCCATTTTAAAAACTCGTTGATAAACATCTGCATGTTTTTTATTCGTTTAGTAAATGTACAATGGGAGATATTTTTCCTCTCTATCTCTCTTTCGATCATAGATAAATAACAGTAGGAGACAAGAAATTCTCAAATGTATGGTTATATTCATACACAAAGGAAAAGGACGAAATGCACGACCTTCGCATTTCACTATGACAAAAAGGAGAAGTGAAACATTAGCCCAGAATACGGTAAATATGTACATATCAACAGCTGGATAGACTAGAGATCAAACGATACTAATCATTATCGTAAAAGCAGGTAGTGAGATTGAGAGAGAGAGAGAGAAAGCAAAAAGTACAAAGTACTCCTGAAGCAAAAATAGTTTCACGTCACTCATTTTGTTTGTTTTGAAGGTGAATGGAATTATTTTCTGGATAGTAATATTTAGAAGTGCCATATGATGCTAAATGATATATTCAAATTAGTATTAGTGGTATACTCTATTATTTTGATAAAATATCTTTCTTTTATTTTTCTCCTCCTCCTATACAGAGTTGACACCTTTTCCGCTTTTTTAAATTTTTTCTATTCCGTTTTTAATAGAAATTTAACACAAAAATAACCAAAAAGATTTTAATTATTCGTTAAAAATTGTTTCGTTTTTTTTTATTATTTTTTATTTCTTTTTTCCCACGATTTTCTCAAAATATGAATCAAGTGGTATTCATTGAGAAATATCTTCAAGAATACATTTATAACAAAAAGTCGTTTTCTGCTTTCTACATACTTTAAAGTGGCAACCATATTTTTGTCATTAAAAATATTCTCTTTGAACTTTTAATTAAATCACAAAAATACAATTATAAAAAATTTTTGAAAAGACTAAAAGAATGTTCAAATAACTAATTTTATCTGTATTCTGTATATTATACTACCTTTTAGAATAACTCTGTGTTTTTTGTCCTTAATCTTTGTTATCTGACATGATCCCAGTCATCTATCATCATCTCATATATCAATCTAGAATGTTTTTATGATCTTTTAGACATCATCTTAAATATAACTGTTGCTACTGCCGTCGATGATTTTATGAGAATTAATAAAGTGACAACAATTTTTGATTAGAGATTAAATGTTTACAATAACAATGTTAAAGAAAATATAAATCTCACATATCACTTGATATTTGATCTTGGTAGTAAGTATCATTGAAAAAACTGCGTTGCATGCACTTAGATAAGCACTAAAGGAAATCGAACGGAAACTCGTTTAAGTTGAGTTTCGAACATCCTCTCGTTCAATCATGCTACTATACTTCTTTTTCTCTCTTGTTCAGCATAAAATATTTAATTTGTTTTTTTTTCTTTTCTTTGACTTTGGTCTACTAACATCTTTTATACCAGTATATAGTAAAATAAACAAATGAATCAACTTTCTTAATCTATGACCTTTTCCTAGTTATTTTCTTTAAAATATATTCTGTACATAATTATTGATAGTGACAGAGAAATCCTGAAAAAAAAAAATGATAATTAACATAAAAACGCTTTCGAACGTGAAGAGTTAAAAAGAAAAAAAAAAAGAAGAAAAAAAACGCTATTTTGAACGTATGCATATCAAAGGTTTCACTTTTTGTAGAAACTAACAGTGTATGCGAACCCGTCAAAATTGAGGGAACAAGAAGAGAAAGAGAGAGATACAAAAAATGTTCAATTAAATATTAAAAAAGAATAAAAATGCGTTAAAAGTGAAAGTTATAAATGAATAATAAATGAAAGACTACAATGTCAATCTAAAACTATAAAATTTTTTTAGCTCAGAAGTGAATAGATAAAAATTTAGTAAGTGAACTTAAATTAAAACTAGTAGATAAGAATGAAGCAAAAAATTGATTGCTATTTGTGTTATCGTTTAAGGTATATTTAATCATAAACGGTTCATTTATTTCAAAGGATTCAATTGCTGCCTCATGTTTCCATCGGATGACGGTAATTTTCGCAATTATAAGCATTTTATTTATCAAAAATGGCCACCTGATAATATTAGCCGAACAACAACAACAACATCAAAATATTTCATCAATACCATCTATCAACATTATACCAAAAGATTATCTAGTGAAAAACAATTTTGTAAACGTAACCAGTTTATTATCAACAGAACGAAATTTTCGTTATTTAGACAAAAAAAGTCAACATTTTCCTTTAACATATTCACATCGCCTCACAGACGAACATTTCCGCCATAAAAAATCATTAGTATTTTCTAATAAAAAACCAAATGTAACAATTTTAATGATGTTTCCCGATATCGATCATTTTATACCAAATTTAAAATCATTATTAATTGTCTATGAATATATTGTTCAACGTTATAATATCTCAGAATGGTTAAATGTTAAAATTCATGCTTTAGATTCAAATTGTTCAATTTCATTAGCACCTCATAATCTTGTGCAAATAATGTTAAAAACTATTCCCGATGTTGTTTTTGGACCCTTTTGTGGTACGTTAGTTAAAAGAAAATTTTTTTTTTATATCAGAATTACTAACTATTATCAAAATATTAGTAAATTTCTATTTAATAATAGATAAATTTTATTTTTCTATTTAGATTTGGCTGTTGCGCCTGTTGCACGTCTATTACATTATCGAAATATTCCATTGGTAACAATGGGTGCTGTATCAAATGAATTTACAATTCATCGTAATTCAATGTATAGTTCAATATTTCGTTTTGGTTATAGAACAGATGAATTAGGTTTTTTAATTTTAAAATTACTTCAATATTATAAATGGACTTTTATTAAATTTTTATATGAAGATAATCCTAAACCATGGCATGAATGTCAAGTTTTATTAAGACCAATTTCACATGCATTTACTACAAATCAAATACGTAGTGATAATAGAAAAATAACTAGTCGTGATTCAGAAGATAATTATACATCAATTTTTGTCGATTTTATTAGTAACAATGCTTCTGGTAAGAGAAGAAGAAGAAGAAAACAAAAAATTATATTCTGATAGAGTAATAATAAGTGTTTACGGTAAAAGAGATAACAAGTAGAAAATAATTAGCTTAATTTGCCTCAAATAATCATAATAACATATGGAGTCTTTTTTTAACCTCAAAATACTAGAAAAAGAAGCAGAAAGAAAAAAAAAAGAGTGCACTCAACTGAAAATAAATAGTAAAAGTACTTATCGATTAGCTATTCTATATTTCAGTTTCCCTATGGTGTGTAAGTCCAAAAACATTTCGATCAGCAATATTAACAGCACAAAAATTTGGTTTTATTAATGGTGAATATGTTTTTATCTATCTTGACACTGTATTAACTCAAGAAAAGTAAGTTGATTATAGAAAAAGAAAAGAAGCAATAATCGAATATTGTACTATTAATTATTTTTTTTAGTACCGATGAAAAAAGTTTAGCTGTTCGTCAACCATGGTTTGATCCAAACGAAAAAAATAATCAAATTAATATAAATGCTCGACGAGCATTTGAATCTGTTTTATTTCTTCGACAACGACTCTATACGAGTGATAAATTTCGACAATTTGCTCAAGATGTCTATGAATATGCCAAAGAAAATAATAAATCAAAATATTTAATACATGAAACAGTAAGTTCCAATGATATGACAATTATATATTGTCAAGTATTTATTAACTAAATTAATCTCGATTAATTCGAGATTGTTATATATATATATATCTTATTCTTACATTTAAATACATATATATTTCAGAATTCCTCAATAAGAGTGAGTAGGTTTGATTAGAGACTCTCTTGTTTTTTTGTTTGAGTGCGAATAATTCTTCTTCTTCTTCTTCTTTTGCTTGCATGTAATAAAATTCACTTCTCAATCTCTTGCATGAGTTTAATAATCTTTTGTCCACTTTTGATTAAAATCATTCAGATCTTTTTTCATATAGATATATATATTTTTTTATTGAACTTATTTGCTTGATAAAATAAGTTAATAGAGAAAGAATGAATTCTACTTTATTCAATAGTATTGCTTTTATCAAGTCTGCTTACTACTGACGTGAGTCACATATAACAAAAATATATATTTTTTTAATTAAACAGATCTTATAGAATTAAATGACTGTGAGCACTAATAAATTAAGTACATATCAATTATAAATTGATAACATTTATTTTTTGCTCAAAAAAATAAATAAATAAAAATAATGTCATTTTAAAAACTAGTTACATTTAATTACAGAATTATGATTAGTCTGATATTTGTTAGAATTTTAAATATTTTTTGAGTAAAACCGCCCTTTTTGCTTTACTTTTGACTGCACACATTTTTAAATTTTGTCTGCACATTTAAACTTCTTTTTTTGAATATTGTCACAAATTCTCTTACCTTTTTCTTCTTAAAATATAAATTTACTATTTATACATAATTAAAACATTTGACGATCTTCAACACACATCTTAGATCAATTTTAGATTGGCACTGACGAGACAAATTTTTATGATGCTGTTGTCACTTATTTTGAAGCATTAAAATCACATTATTCAAGTTCAAATTTAACAGAAAATACAATAAAAGATTATCAACCATTTAATGCCATTGATTTTAAAGCACGTATTTGTAGTCGAACAATTAGAGGTGTTGGTAAAAATATAACAATGAATGCACTATGTGATCGAGTTGATATTGGTTATGCTGTTTATGATATGGATCCAGACACTGGAGAATTTGAGGTTGAGTAATTAATTAAATTTTAGTGTCTTATTTTAGTTTTATTATTATTATTATAGTCGGTTGTTGCATATCCTGCTGAACCATATTCAACATTGAATAAAGATTTACAATGGTTAAATGAAAGTCGAACAATCTATTTTATTGATAAAAATACAACATCTATTCCTCATACACCACGATGTGGTTATAACAATGTTAAATGTCCAAAAAAAAGTAAACTATTATTTTACTTAATTATTATATTTTTATTATTCATAAAATAATTATTTTTTTTAGCATTTATGCCAATTTGGGGATGGGTCATTGTTAGTTTATCATCAATTATTGTTTTATTACTACTTGTTGGTATCTTTTTATATAGGTATGTTAAAAATGATCATATAGAAATAAGAATAGAATTGTAATAATGATGATCTATTTTATTTTTTGTACAGGCGAGCAAAATTTGAAGCCGAATTAAAAGCAATGCCATGGTTACTTAAATGGGAAGAATTAAGTAGCAGAATTGTCCTAAACGGTGTTACACCCTCCTTCAATAAATTATCGTCATCACAAAAGGTAGTCTAAATACAAATGTTTATTATTAACAAAATTTTTATTATTTAATTCTTGTTAAAAATGTATATTGAGATAATTCCATTATGAATATAAATGAAGTTTTCTTTTTTTGTAATTAATATTCTAGGATCTGACAAAGTCAGTGAGTACAAAATGTGAGCATTGCTGTGGTTTAATGGGCATTTGATGGTATCCATCATACTTTCTGTTGCTAAAAGAATAAAGAGAAACAAATTTTATGCTAAGCTCATGTTAATCTTATCAAAAAAAAAGCAAAAAAAAAAGAATTTTTTTTATGTTTATTTATGAGCTGCACTGTTGTCTATGTCTTTAAAAGTAAAAATCTGTTTTTTAAGATGAGAAGCTGAAAACCTATACTATAGTGAGAGAATATAAATCGTTAATATTGTTGTAATTGTCATTTTTTTATGTTTATATTGTAAGCGTTTGCACGACGATTTACTATGCACATTTATTTCTTGAACAATGATTATGTAATTGAATGCACTTGCTTTATCTGTTTTTATCCTATATTTGATTATTGTTAAATTAATTAATTCTATCTATTTTTAGCGTACTTCAATATCAAGTCATCGTTCATCCGATTGTAGTGATGGTGGTGGTGGACACTCACGTCAATTATTTACCAAAACCGCTGTTTACAAGGTTTGTTTAATTAGACAATGATAAACGGACAGTTTCTCTCAAATAACATACATTTTTTGTTTTTAGTCTTCGATCGTGGCACTAAAACGTTTTCATAAAATTAAATTAGAAATAACGCGAAATTTACAACTAGAAGTAAAAGCTATGCAAGATATTCAACACGATCATATAGCGCGATTTGTTGGTATATGTTTGGATCCTAAACATCAGTATATTGTTACTGAATATTGTCCAAAAGGAAGTTTACAAGATATTTTAGAAAATGAAGAGATTAAGCTTGATTCAATGTTTAAACATTCAATAATGCATGATATTGTGAAGGGTATGCAACATTTACACAATAGTAATATACAATCACATGGAAACTTGAAAAGTTCAAATTGTGTTGTGGATAGTCGGTTCATTTGTAAAGTGACCGATTTTGGTATACCAATGTTGCGTTCAAATCCAAACAAAATTTCTCCAACTCATATTAAAGACTATGCTTACTATAAAAGTATAATATACTCAAAAATATTCTATTATTATTAATTACAAAAATAAATTCCTTTTTTTTCAATTTTTTAAGGTAAACTTTGGACAGCACCAGAATTGCTTAACAGTTTAAATCAATCAGCGGCTGGAACGCAGAAAGGTGATGTTTATAGTTTTGGCATTATATTGCAAGAAATTGAGCTTAGAAATGGTCCATTCTATTTGAAAGATCAAGAAATGGAACCATTAGGTAAAACAAATATTATTACATAATCTTTTTATAATATTGTTATCATATGATATATATTTAGAAATAATCGCAAATGTGAAAAGTGGGAGCGGTTTAAGACCATCAATTGAATCCGGTGAATGTAATCATGAAATAGCACAATTAATGAAACGTTGTTGGAGTGAAGATCCAGCTGATCGGCCTGATTTCACGGATATAAGACAAGTTATGAGACGTATTAATAAGTGAGTTACAAATCTTCATTGAATTTCAATTGAAAAATATCATCTGGTATTTCAGAGATGGTGAAAGTGGAAATATTCTGGATAATTTATTAAAACGTATGGAACAATATGCGAACAATTTGGAGGTAAGAATGATATTTATACACTAAAAACACAATTACGTTTCTGTTATTTCTCAATCTTTTAGGGTTTAGTCGAAGAACGAACTTCTGATTATTTAGTTGAAAAGAAGAAAGCTGAAGAACTATTATACAGACTGCTTCCAAAGTAAATATACATTGAAATATGAATTAGCATCTACACTTTTCTATCGAAAAGATATAACTAGTTAATTAGAAATTTGACGAGAGATTTATGATCAATGTTTGCTACATGTAGATGAAGATTATCTTTTTCTTTAGATCGGTGGCTTCTCAGCTAATGGTTGGTCATACGGTAACTGCTGAATCATTCGAGAATGTGACCATTTACTTCAGCGATATTTGTGGATTCACATCATTATCCTCCGAAAGCACACCGTTACAAGTTAGAGTATTACTATACACAATAGCAATTTGCACATATTTGATTTCTGTTTAGGTAGTTGATTTGCTCAATGATCTATATTCTGTTTTCGATGGCGTTAGTGAAAATTTTGATGTTTACAAGGTGAGAATTTTATTGAATTCTTTCAAATTATAAATTTTAGTGTATTCTCTTCTCTTGCTTTCAGGTTGAAACTATCGGGGATGCATATGTATGTTTAAGGATATGGACTTGGTGTTTCCATTTATCAATATAAATTTTAAATTTCAGATGGTTGTTTCTGGTCTTCCAACAAGAAATGGTGATCTGCATGCAAGGGAAATAGCGCGGTTGTCTCTGGCATTATTGAATGCTGTATTAAACTTTCGTATCAGACACCGTCCAGATCGTCAGTTATTACTAAGGATTGGTATACATTCAGGTATTTGCAATTTTAATATTATATAAGTTATACTTATCTAATTATATTTGAAACCCATTTAGGTCCGTGTGTAGCCGGTGTAGTTGGGATGAAAATGCCCCGATTTTGTCTATTTGGTGATACGGTAATAATACGCTCTCAAAACTTCGCAATTTATTGTGTGTGTTACAAGTAGCTTTTTGGTGCAAAACTCCCTACGATTCACAGTGAACGGGAATTAATATTCATCTAACATAATCATATTTTTAGGTGAACACAGCATCACGCATGGAAAGCAATGGTAAAGCTCTTCGTATTCATGTGAGTTCTACCACCAAAGCAATTTTAGACAAATTTGGTACATTTGAGCTTAAACTGCGTGGTGACGTAGAAATGAAGGTAAAAAAACCGTTTACATTTATTACATTTGACGTTTTGTCATATGATTATGTGTGCTTGCATTTTATAGGGCAAAGGTAAAATGACAACATATTGGCTTTTGGGTGAGATAGATGGTTTGAGTGCCCAACATAGTTCACTAAATTGGGATGACGATAACATGGATGAACATTAATATTTATCAAGATCTATTTCTTGCTCAATATTTTGTATAACTGATATCGATCTAAATAAGATAATGAATCTAGGTATATTGAACGGTGTTTTCACTATTTTCCAACGAATATTGTTCTTTCATTCTTTTTCTTTTTCTTCTTCGTTTTTGTGCTCTTTGCAAATGCTTGTAAAGAAAATTTTTTTCTATATTTTCCATTCTATTTTGTAAAATAATACTATGTATATTTTGAATAAACAAGACACGAGTTAAGTAGAAGATCTACAGATACCAAACACTTCAATTTTAAACAATAGAACGAAGTACAAGCAGATGACATTTTTAGATGACTGTAATAAGATTATAAATATGTTTTTATTACAGTTTATCAGCATAAATTTGTTTGAGTATATTCCATGATCGATAATAATCTGTAAATACATTTTGTTCTACATGTCTACCAGTTGAACAAACTAGTAACGGTGGTATTTTATGAATATCTATTAACATTTTTTGACAAATTTCATTTGTTCCCTGATAATAACCAAACGGTAAAATATCGCAAACAAAATTTAATTTTTCAGGAATCATTCCTGTCAAATAAATATCGGCAAAACGAAATGGTTGTTTTTGTTTTAAACCTTCATTTACTAATAAATCTCTTGTCTTGTCGTCCATGAGATAACCAAATCCCTTAAACAAGTTTAATTTTTTGCTAGTGCATCGTCGTCTCTAATACAAAATAAAAGTATCACTTACTGAACAGTAACGTGGATACAATTCGAATGGATATTCTTTCCAATCAACATAAAATAATTTTACTGTTTCATTTCTTACTGGTTTGCCTGGCTGAAATGCCCATCCATAAAGAAATGTTTGAGAGCCGAGTCTTGTAAGAAGCATATTATCAATCGAAACGTTGTGTAGAAAACGACCTTGAAAATTTTGCGGTTCAGTTTTAAGTTCACGAATTAATTCTTGTAATAGAAGGGTATTTATGAACAGATCATCTTCAGTTTTGAATGTATACGTGACATTTGGACAGTGTTTACTTAACCATTGATAGGCGTACAATTCTTTAAGTGTTGCACTTTTGTCATCAATTGATAAATATAATAAATCTTCTTCACTTGCTGCTTCATTTGAAATTTCTTCACTAATACTTTCAATACCATAACCAATTACAAATAGACGTTGTGAGTGAACGTTCATTGTTAAAGTAGAATCGGCTACTGCACCAAACGTTTCTCGTATTGATTGTCTGTCAAGAAAATGATTATCAACCGATATAATGACAATTAGAAGATCAATTCTATACAAAACTTTTGAACATAAATTTACATTTTCAATTATTGGAATTGATGTATTTCTTAGCTTATTTCTCTTGACAGTAGCATGTTTTTCATAAAATTGATTATCGTGACTATTTCGAGATATAAGAGCCTGCCACACAATGTATATTATCATTATAAAACTGAAGAAGAGACATATTTTATCGCATGTACGGCGCATAAATGTTTGCTATTGAAAACGTTCAAGGTTAAAAATGAAAAATTTTAATGGACCTGCATGCAAAGCGGTAAAAAGGTGCTGACTTATTTGTTTACCTGAATCACAAACAACGAGAAACTATGAAAAAAGTTTTATTCTTTTCTAGTACAAAAAATTATAATACAAATTCATATTCATTCAAAATTTGCACAAAACTGAAAATGTGTGTACTTCTCGCTGATGATGGCTTGCAGAAAAAACGACAAAATGAGAAACGATTTCGACGCATTCGAATGTTGAAGTTACTAATTAATTTTGGAAATATATTAATAGTTATATTTTCAGTTCTTTAATAAACAATTGTAATGAAATGAATTTGTACAAAGTGCTTTTCCGCAACAACCTTCAACAATCATCTGAAGTATTTTTAAACAAAATGATTCATTCAATAATTTTCTGATGATATAATCTAATATTTATATTTGGATCTATGAAGTTTGAGAAACAGGCATATCGGAACCTTTAAGAGAAGATACTGGAGGGAGACGTAAGTTATGTTTCATATTTGGAAAGGAAATGCGGAAAATCTTTTTAAAAATCTTTTTATTGTGTTATGCGATGGTTACAAAATTACAATAAATTATCAATTCGTTAACTGATTTCGTGTACATTTTAGCTTTTTTAATATCTTAAGACTCATACTACATGGAAAACAAAATGATGATAAAAAATGAAATAAATCCTGACTGAGCCCCATTCATATTGAAAAATTGCATTCAATTAATTACTGTACACTTAGAAACCAAAAAAGTGCATGAAACAGGCAATCTTTGCTATGGTGATCGTACTATTAGCTGCAGCCAATTCAATATGCAACTGGAATGGATAAACTATTAGTAAGATTTTCTTAAAAATTTTATAAATATCTGAGTTGCAAATGAACATCACTTATTGTTATATGATGAGATGTACTTATTTCGTATACTGTTTCGTTGAACAAGAATGAAATGAGATTTAATTTTCTATTTTCATTTTTTTTGCACAAGCTAGGATTACCGAGATCACTATTCTACACTATTATATAGTAATGGGAAAAAATTACGAACTACAATAGTTTTTATCTTTCCTGGATGCTTTTAACTTATTTTTAATGACATCAGTGGAAAGAACATGAAAAACTTCCCAGAATTGCCTTAGGGGGCCAAAATGTGAAAACTTTTTTCCTGGATATACGCACAAATATAGAATTAGTACTCATTAGTCTATATATCGTTTCCCTCGAACCAAGCCACACGTAACATCCAATTCTTTCTCTAGTACGAATACACCTCTATTTTGACAACTACTGCTGTTGGAGAGGGGAGGTGGTGTAATAGAATGGTAAAAATAGCCATTTGGTCCCCAAAACCTCTTTAAACTTAAAACCTGCGTTGCTTTCTTTGACGAAGGAGGATCCTGAAAGTTTTCACAAAAACGCATCATAAGTGACATATCTTTAGTCTTATAGCCGTAACGCTTTGATAGTCTTTCGAATTAGTTTTCTGCAGAAGAGAGTTTAAAAGTACTCATACATCGATGAAAGCGTAACGCAAATTCTTTTCTCGTTTCTCATATTGATCAGTAGCAAATAACGCAACGTTAGAATCTCATAAGAAAAGCTCATGCAATAAACTGACACTGTGGTGTAATGGAAATTTTTTTCAACTTACCATCAAATTTAAGAAATTGTTTTTATGAAGAGTACTAAAATTATGACGATCATTCCTTATGCAAAATTTTATTGTTGAATGGACTTCCACTTTTTCTATTTTTTAAACCATTGATTATTAAGTTGGATATGGTGCCTATCTTTGTCTAGAATAACTTTTCTTGTCCCCATAGAAACAATAGAAAAACTCGAAGTAGAAAGTTTGCTAAAAATTCAGCAAAACACTGAAAATTAAGTTTTTCTGGAACATCATTTTTTTCAAAAACTAAAACCAAAATTACGAACGAGTCTCTGCTCTTTAGGCAACTTAATAACGAAAAAATGATCTCAATTGGATTTAAATTCGTATAAAAAAAAATTATTGTCCGCGCTAGAAAATGTTTCCGAAACACAGGTAATAATTGTGATGAGGGATTTTTATAAAATTCTGATAATAGTATAATGGGAAGATCTACTATCAGTGATTTCTAAGATAAGCTAGTGGAGGGGAACGATTCATGTATGCAGTATACACTTAAATACTATGCTTATCACTTAATGCTTCTATTTGGGGAAATTTTTGTGTGGACTCATTGTTATCGACGCTTTTTTTAGTATGCTTTCTCGTGGGCGCTTTCTAGTAAGCACTTTTTTCGATGCTTTTTTTCTTGTCACGTACTTCTCTACATTTAAAAAATATAACATAGTTGATCGATAAAAGGTTGTTAAGCGAAAAAAAATTAGGAAATAATTCTTACACTTATCTTTTTTTCTTCAGTCGATAATGGTAGCGACCGGGTTTACTATTTCAGATGGAATGATCTCAATTTATCACTTCTAATTATTGATGCCCGAAAAGAGAGATTTTATGTACTCGATTGCTTAAGAAGGATCTTCCTTTGTCAAGGATCGTATATAGTTTTGCAGTCATACACAAACATTGAGAAGAAAAGAATACAGTTCATAATTAAGTAATGTTCTTATAGTTCGTTGATATCAAAGCTTTCTGAGAAATATTGTATATATTCTACGTTGACACGTACTGTTTATGGTTGTAAAACTTGTCCTTGGATTAGAGATACCGGTGATTTCAAAACCTTTTAGTTTGACGCTCATTAGTTTGGGTATTTTAACGAATAACTCTTTATTTACATGTGCATTAGAGTGAGTTGCCTTTGTTTTATTTTTTATTTTTGATACAAGTTCAACTTATGCCTATAATAGAAGAGTAAAAGAAAAAAAAAAGGAAAAAACCCCTAGGGGAAAAAGAGAATAATTATAACAATAAGAACGTGAAGGTTCGTACTCAGAAAATCCATACATAATTGAGCTAAATGTTCCATTAATTTACGATAGTCATGGAAAAAAATGGATGTCTAGGAGTATACGTGAATGTCAAACACATACTTTTTCTCTCTACCCAGATATACTTCTTTTTTGTTCGTTATGTGTAGTGGGTGTTATACGCGGGTAAAAAGTCAATTATAAGATATTTGTCTGATAATTCCTAACAACAACAACCACAAAATATTCTTCGCAGACAAATAATAATAGTAAGAGAAATAGGCTTAAATAATGATAGTTGTAAATAACAAAATATGAACAATAAATAAACAACTGGTTAGGCGTCTCTTTTTTTCCTGTGAATGTAAGAGACAAAAAGTATGCTCTTTCATAGTTTATAGAACTAATCTAACGTACGAGAATATAACATGTAGAGAAGAATAATATAATTTTATGATTGGTAGTAGTGATCATTAATTGTCTGCACATGATTTATTCGTGAAAAAAGGTCCATTCGTTTAGGAACTACGAGATGCTCTGGTATAAAAAATAATATGTTGTGAAATTGCAAAATTTCTGAATTTTATTTAGCAGCTGCAGTTCCTTTCATCTTAGTTGCTGAACTGGCGGTGGAAGGCGTTTGTTTCGTTGCTGTAAGTTTCGTTTCCGCAGGTTTCGTTCCCGTAGGTTTCGTTCCTGCAGGTTTCGTTTCCGTAGGCTTCGTTTCTGTAGGCTTTGTTTCCGCAGGTTTCGTTTCTGCAGGTTTCGTTTCCGCAGGTTTCGTTTCCGTAGGCTTCGTTTCCGTAGGCTTCGTTTCTGTAGGCTTCGTTTCCGTAGGCTTCGTTTCTGTAGGCTTTGTTTCCGCAGGTGCCGTTTCCGCAGGTGTCGGTTCCGCAGGTGTCGTTTCCGCAGGCGTCGTCGTATTTTCAGTAGGAGCTTGTCCGTCAATGTCGAGGACCGCTGCGTTTGCCGATAAAGAACCTTCAGCCAGTGCTACTTCGGACGATTGTTCGCTTGCCTCGGTCGCGTTTGATTGCTGGTATTGTGGTTGTTCACCAACTGTCGGCGTCGCGATTTTGTTGCTAGTTTCTGTATGAGATAGTGGTTCATATGTTTTGTGAGTAAAGCCTGAGTGATTCGACTGTTCATATACGCGGCTGGTAATCGGCGCTTGCGCTACGTTACGAGCAACATTTTGAACTCTTGGTGCCATTGATTCGTCTTCTTGTCCAGCAGCAGCTATTGCTTGATTCATATACTGATCACGTAATTGATCAAGTGATCCACCTGCTGAAGAACGCGTTTGTTGTTGAGATGAATCTTGACTTTCAGATATGGATGTCGCTTTGAATCTTTCACGCAATGCGCCGAAACCTGGTGCAGAACCCTTTAAAAAATAATACAAAAATTGCATTAACGACTATGAATATAGAGGAACTACATATCTCTCAACTACGTATTAACATATAATAGTTTTCTAAAAACCCATTTGGGTTTCAACTTTATTTCTAATTATACATATTTAATTTGCCAAAAAGCTCACTAATGTGAACCGTTGCCTATTGAAGAATTTCAGACTTCTAACGGACACACAAACGTGTTTTTTTACAAAGAAAAGTTGGCGGTTATATGGGTTGAAATGTGCTTTTCCACGAAAAACGTAGAAAAGCGCGGTTTTTCATTTGCAAGTAAAATACACACTTTGGAGACTGTGCGAAGGCTAAAGTTTCATTCATAACAACAATAATGACTTAATATTAACAACTAATTAAAGGTGGATGTTCTCGCTTTGTTCATAAAAACTTGTTTTATATACTCATAAAGCTTTAAAATAAATAGAAAATATAATGATTGAATACTGTCGTGAAACGTGTCGGGGATACCTGGTACTTATTTAAAAAATTGAGGGACATTCTACTCTACGCAATTTTCTCGTACAAAGAGCTTAAAATGAACAACGCTATCAGCTTATCATTTTCAAATACTCTCAAGAAAATTTGCAAAAAGTGCTGAATACATTGCGGCTACTATCTCGTCAATATTTAGTAGCGAAATAAACTTGTCATGCTTACTTGAATATGTTGTGGAGCAGAGGCTTGTTGAATATTCGAATATTGTTGCTGTTGATAAGCTACAGAGCTATTAACGGGCGGTTCTCTTGGTGGTGGTAGATTACTGTACGTCATATGGTGTGTTGAAACTGTTTTTGTATAACTTGATGTGTTTGTTTGATGCGATTGTAGGTTCGATTGTGATTTTGGTTTTGGTACATGTGTTTGCAACACCGTTGGACCAGAAAATTTGGTCATTAAACCTCGAATGCCCACCGGTTGTGGTGGTTGTTGAGAGAATTGTTGCTGTTGATGATATTGGTTACTGATTGATTGTTGCTGTTGAACGACTCTCGGTTGAGTTGCAGTCGATTGAACTTGACGTGCTTGCACTTGAGTTTGATAAGCATCTGCACTCTGTTAAATAAACGTATGCCTGTTTCATTCTTATTCATAAACTTTGAAAACCTCTTAAAATCTATTCTGGTGATCTCTTATCCATGTGCAGTTTTCATAGAAAACTCACTTGTTGTTTTTGCATTTGTTGTTGCTCTTGTAATTGCCGCTGACGAGCCAGTTGTGCATAATATCTTTGTTCTTCGTCACGCTCTTGTTCCGATTTACTTCGTTGTCGAGCGTATGCATCTTCATATTGTTGATGATCGCGCTGTGTTTGTGACGTCGAACGAGGCTCTTGCTGTTTTTCGATATGAACAGACGAGGATTGTTGTTGTTGATAATATTGTTCTGGAAATTTAAAACGTTTTTGTTAATTATACAAATCTAGCTGGTGTGCACTATTATTTTGGTGAAAAATTGTGAGATTTGAAAGAATAGGTACTTACGTTGCGCTAATTGTTGGCGTTTTTGTTCTTCTTGTTGTTGGCGTTGTAATTGTTGCTGTCTCAGTAGCTAAAATATTGAAGTATAATTTATGAATTATCTGATTTATGAACCAAATAGATGAATAATTTACTTGCTGATATTGTTCAGGTGTCAATTGACTACAATATACAAAAAAGTAAATAAAGCAAAAACAGTTATAAGTTTGTTTTCCAAAAATAGTGTTACCTGTAATATTGCTGCAATTGTTCTTGTTGAGTTAATGACGCACCGTCTCGTTGTTGTGTACTATGAACCTAAAAAGACAATCTTATTAAGAATTTACGGTATCAAAGTTCATTCCGACATCTTACATTAGTGCAATGTTAACAGAAGTTTTCTATGGTCCTGCGGAATACGGAAATCAGACGCTAGAGTCTCGATTCACTTTTACTCCTTTTCTTGCGAGTGCAAAGATGTGTCAGATAAATGTGAAATACTACATGAATCAGTTTAACTTATTCAGGAAACACTCAAGATACATGAGTAAAAAATATCTGATCGAAAGAGAGGGGCAAGATATTGAAATGCCACTTATTTAGACATACCCGAACTTGTTGTTGAGCTTCACTATGACGTTGAAGACTCGGAGAAGCCACTTGAGTATACTGTTCGGCTCCTGGTGTTGAATAAATGGTCGGTTGTGGCTGTTTTTGAGTGTAAGAATGGCTGGATGATTGTGGTGAAATGGTAAACTGTTTTGGAATACCCATACTTTCGTAGGAAGATGCCGTACCATGTTCTAAATAAGGTGATCGCTGCTGCTGTTGTATTATTAATTGAGGCTGTTCATTATTCAAACGAACTTGAACAGCAGCCAGCTAGAGTAATCAACAAATTTAATCTAATCATTTAGAGAGCAACTAAAACCAGCGATCCCGATAAGGGAGGAGGGGGCAGAGGGACCAGCCCCTTCGTAGAATTCCTGACTTTCTGTAAAAAATCTTGGTTTGACGTTCCCCCACCAAAAATGTAGCAGCAGCATAAAAAACTAGTTTTTATGTCAACTTTTGTCTGTTAATCTACCGCGTAGACGTGCAAACACGAGTATGGTCTCTTTTATATTACTTGAAGTCTGTTTTTCTTCCATGAGTATTTCATGTCCGACTGATTTATTTTATCGGAACGAAAAAGGATGCAACCTGAAATAAAATCATTCTATTTTCGCTTCATCGAGTTCCGCAAGATATTTTTACAAGCTTTCCGCCACAATTATGGACCCTTCCCTGGCCAAAAAACACGGACCCCTGGTAAAAACAGTGTCGTCAGTTTCGATTATAAGATTGTAAATAAGACTATTTGTAGACTGGTCCAGCTCTCTATCTATAACGTTGTGAGCATAGATAGAGGAACAGTTTTGGAAAATTATGAATATATGATAAGCTTAGCCGTATGAGGCACCAACCATAAGACCTTTGGTGTTCTGGTAATCGATTCTTTACGATATCTCTGAAAAACTACTCAGTTTTGCTTCAAATCCAAAATAGTCCTTTATAAATTTCCTAACTTTCTGTTCCTATTGACTACACCCTCTGAACTTATCATTCGCTATTTGACAGATAGCAGAAATTATGTTTTAGAATAAAGAGAGAAAAATTAATAAGTTACCAACAAATGATAATCAATGCAGGGAGCGTAGCGAACGAAGATGATTTATTTGCTAAAACCTACTTTAGGCTGTTGCGCTTGTTGCTGTTGGTAATGGGCTTGTTGTTGCTGCTGTCGTTGCGGACTTGTTTTGAACCCAGCAACGGCCGTTTGAGTCGTATAATCATCATATAACGGTTGGTGGTCTGGCTTTCTTGGTTGCGGTGGATAATAATCATTGGTGTATTGTTGAATTTGTTGATGTGTAGTTGGTGATGTACGATATTCTTGTCTGCTTTGTTCATCATAACTAGTCAAAGACTGGTGTTGTTGTTGTTGCTGACGTGAAATACCTCCAACACCTGATGCATGAGGCGTGTATTCTGCTGCACGAGATTGAGTAACATAGGTTGGAGTATTCCCACCTGTTGTGGTCTGTTGATTTTGCGTTGTGCCACCCGATGAAAAATAGTAGGCTTGATTTCCTTCGTTCTCAATATAACGTGTTGCCATCAGAATGGCTTACAGTTTAATATGCTTAGGTTAATGATAAAAAAACAAAAGTCAAGGCTATGAGCGTATGCGTAGATTAGGATGTTGATATCACCAAATTTTTCGATAAAGTCGCTAATGCCAACTCAACACATAGACAAAGGGGGAGAGATAAGAAAATAACAGATACAACGAAACTAAGTGTTATCCGTATGTAGAAGAAGTACAAATACATACATCATCGAGAAGAAAAAGAAATGGATGATATTTCTCTATTTGTTTTTATCCCGAAAGATGCTTTTTACTTCCTTCTTCATTACCTTTTACGTACTGTTTTTCAGGAACACACGTCTGCCTACATAATGATGATTTTGGTTTTTTCCATATTGACAAATAGTCAACTAGTAAAACTACATCATTTTATCTTCTAATATATATATATATATATATGTATATATGGTATATTTATTAGCACAAAAGTGTAACAATATATCATACTGGCACGAGAAAAAGAAAAAAAAGAACCTATCACCAAGAAATCTGACATGGACATAATAAAAAAAACAATGCAGAAAATGGAATTCACAAATGGCTAAAACAAAAAAGATTTCCTAATACCAAACATTTATTAGCAAAATAAAATATTATTATTGAAAAAACATCCATTTTATTCTGCTTCTCTTTCTTTGACTTTGATAATGGGAAAAATATATAGCATGATCGTCTTTTCTAATAAATATATGTAAGATGGATGTAACTAAAGATATAATTCTCAGCAATACAGATCAAATTACGAATACGATATAGACAAAATGAGAAAGAGAATTAAAGACTGTGCGACAAAGTCGAATAGACATAAAAAGGTCGAAAGATACGTATTAACATCTGTTCTTAGCCTCAAGAATAACACATAATGTAATTAATTAATTACTTAATGCTCATGGACAACAATGATCAATTAGAAGTCTATCCATTAAGATGGTTCTACCGGATTTAAAATTTGAGGAAATTTGGGAAACAGTTGATCATTTCATTCATAAATGGTTTATCATTTTTCGTCATCAGTTCAACGAAGGCCATTCACTTTGTTCCGCGAATTTTTCGTATGATTGCAAAGACCTGGACCAAAGCCCATACACAGAAAGATAGAGGATTTTCAGTGCTTCAGAATGAACTAGAATATTTTATTTTAAAAGTTTGCTCTCATAGATGTATTTGCTAAATACTGGATAGATATCTCTATTTTTACACATAGTGATATATAAAAATGATTACAGTTTCTTTCACAATTACAAATTAGAAATAGTTTGTATTTAAAAAAATGCAGAATTGAGAGAGCACGCCAGCTAAATAAACACTAAAGAATGCGTTGAGCAGCTGAAACATTGTTCTATCCGAGACGTATACAAAAATTTCCTCAAAATGTTTAAAAACAAGAATTTCGGGAAAACCCAAAGTCCTACTTTCAGGTATTCTACCTTCTGCAGGTAGGCAGCTTTGTGTACATAGTTCACTTATATAGAGTAAACATTTCTGAGGAAAATAAGATGTCTCCGAACTCTCCACAACATATTTTCATCAAGTTGCATTATATTTCCAAAAAACTCCAAAGACACTCTGCTGCTGTTTGTGGGTATTGCTAGTTTTCTATTTGTTCGGTATTTTGCCAATATTAAACTTAAGGTTTGAAACAACGTACTATAGCTTATTTTGTAGCTCTCTCAATTCTGCATTTTTTTAAATACAAACTATTTCTAATTTGTAATTGTGAAAGAAACTGTAATCATTTTTATATATCACTATGTGTAAAAATAGAGATATCTATCCAGTATTTAGCAAATACATCTATGAGAGCAAACTTTTAAAATAAAATATTCTAGTTCATTCTGAAGCACTGAAAATCCTCTGTCTTTCTGTTTATGAGCTTTGGTCAAGGTTTTTGCAATCATACGAAAAATTCGAGGAATAAAGTGAATGGCCTTCGTCGAAAAATGATAAGAAATATTTAAAGAGATCAGGAGCAATTTGAATATTGAAATAAATTATAATCATCCAATTTGAGTACAAAAATTTGACATATGATTTACCTCTTTAAAAAACAGCATATGTTAAACTACTGAAACAATTCATATTAGCGGATAGAAAAAGACTCGGTGGATACGTTTCATGGGTTAATTTTTCTTTAAAATCATTCGGAAAATGTTCATCACATTTGATTATTCTTGATTAATTATATTGCCGTAAACGTGAAATTGTTACAACTTTAACATTACACAACTTTCCACTATTAATAGACAATAAATGTGAAAAATAACACCAATTGTATAATTTTTTATTAAACCTCAACACTTTTTTCAATCTTTGATTTTTTCAACTTCTGCCTATATCATTTACTACCGGCATAGAGCATTCACAAAATTAAATTGAGTTAGTTTCAGATAATGAGAAGTTGATGGTAAATAGCAAATAAGAGAATTCTATGTTAATATTTTCTTATATTATAATATATTGTCAAACGTTGTTTTGTTTCAATGTTATCCATTATTTTAGAATTGCATTTATTCTAAAACTTCAAGTCTTTTTTTGATTTTTGGTTGATAGTTTATCATTTCTTTGAGTATCATTCAGAAATTAATTAAATAGATGACAATTCATTATTTTTTAACACGCTCAGCTTTAACACATCATTTGTAGTATTAATAATGATGGTCGGATAAACATCTTTTGACCTACACAATCACATAGAAAAGAATATTTGCTGATTGATAATATATACTGTTAAAACGTTTATAATATTAGTAATCGATGTTATCTATTGATGAAAACGCGTTAAACTTAGTATGTAATCTTATGTTGAATAGTTGCTTAATATTTTTAATTGTTTGAGGAAATATTTCGATGAGTGCTCCGAACGATGAACCGTAGAGATTTAAGCAATGTTGAAGATCAACAAAAAAATTGCAGAAATCTTGAAATCAAGAATCATTCTTCTTCTTTAAGGGAATATTTTTCCTCGCTATCTAACGATATCGATACATATTAACAAGGTTGTTGGATTTGTTTATTGTTCAGTGCATAGATGGGATCATAATATTGATAGATGTTGAACTCGAATGTAACTTCTTAGCATCATAACCACTTAGGACCGTTTTCAATCAAAAAAAGTCGAGATCAGAAGCAGTTCAGACCACAAGTTTTGGGAACACAACCAGATTAAACTGTATTTTGGTAAAGATGGCAACCATACGAAGATCTGAGATTAGACTGTGTTTTGTGAAAACTTCCTAGGACTTGTCCGTTTTCCGAAGGAAAAGGAAGTCTAAAGTATAAAGTTTATATAAGAAGATTTTTGTGGTTTGCAGATGGCTTTTTGTCAGTAGCTGTAAACACCATCTCATTGGCTGTAAACACAATTTCCAGTAGCTGTAACCTTTCGGGGTGAAATACTGATTGATCAAATTACAATATAAGTTTGGTGGTTACAGCTGCTGAAATGTGTGTTCACAGCTACTGAATGGACCACTAGCAGACAGTGTATTATTGATCTGATGTTGTTAGACATAAGTTTTAATTATTACAATATATTATTACATGTTCTGTGTAATAGCCCAACAGTTCAATAGGAAGTTTTCACATTTTTGCTTCGTAGAAGCAACGCTGACAAGCTTTTTGTAAAGATTGCAACCATACGAACATCTGATACAAACATAACAACGAACAGAATCGTGACAAAATTAACCATTGAAAATGGTACAAAGTTTCCTTTCCCCTACCATCGTTCTTGTTGCATTATCCTGAAGATTTAATTAATAAAGAAAAAACCAGTAATTCTTATTTTATTGAAATTAAGAATATTAACATGTAAAAGTAGGAGAACGACGAAATATGTTAATGGAAAAATCGGTGATACGTCTTTAATTTTTTCGTGGTTCAACTGATATCATCGCTTCGGTTTCAGTTCTTAAAATAATTTCAGCAGCAAGACGAAGATCTCCAGATGTCTGCTTTGTTTTCAATGAAAATTTTCTTAATAACGATGATAATATTACTTTCTCTTCTAATAATGCAAAACGTTGACCTAAAAATATGCAAACAACGAAAATTTTCAACTGAAATAAACGTGTACGCCAAAAAGTTTACCGACCAATGCAATTCCGAGATCCAGCTGAAAATGGAATATATGCAAACGGAGAGCGACCAGCACTCTGTTCGGGAAGAAAACGATCAGGATCAAATTTGTTTGGGTTTGGATAATGTTTTGGGTCGCGATGAATAAAATAAACAAAGATGGCTATAGTCGTACCAGCCAAAATTTTATGACCACCTAAATTTATAAAGAACATTAACTTTGTCTGCGTTAGATCTACGGTATACTCATTCTATCGATACAATAAGAACGTATATTCTTGGGCCTATTTAAAAGAGCAAGACAAGCAACTTCTTGTTAAAAGAGAGCACCTTGCTGATTTTTTGTTCATTTTAATTTGTGAAAAAGTATTAGCATTCTCGTCTTATTTTTATTTACTATCACATTGAGATATCATTCTAATCTTGTATTACACCAAAATTAAGAAATATATTCTGACTAACTTAGATCAGAATATTCTGCTGTAAACAAGCGAAGATTGACAAAGCGAAAGGAAAGTTTATCAATTGTTTTTCGCGTACTATTAATCCTGAATGACATAGATCCATCGATGTCATTATATGTGTTTCTAGTGGAACAATTTTTCCACGAGCAGTAGTTGGTATCGGTTAGCGGACTCTACATGATACTGTCCCATATTTCATCAAGTCAGCTTCATAGTATTTGATAAGAAAGTAAGAAGAAGTACTAATCTTTTCCCTCTTTTTGTCAATCGTCTTTGCATGTTTAATAATTTTGTGTAAAATTTGACCAAAAGATGACTATAAAAGTCGAAATAGCGTCAAAATAATTATAAAATATGACTAACGTTACTGTGACTACACTGCTGCATAGCCCTACAAATTATTTTGAAAGTATTGTTCATTGACAAATACAATGCTTCAACAGCCCTAGTATTCTGTTCTTCCATCGATAATTGCAGCAATAAAAGTTGCCTGCATTAGAAATAGGGATTTACATAACAACACCTTCCAAAATTTTTGTCTCTTCTCTACTTGATAATATAATTGCCGAGCTTGACGAAATAAGTCTGTTAATGTTGTCATTTTAAAATATCTAGATTCCTCTTCTTCATCTACAATGCGAAAACTTAATTGAAGAAAAAATAGAAGAAACTTCTTTTAAACATTGATCGAATAGCCTATTTTTTGAACAGTGAAGAACTGCATGATTAAACAAAAATTTACATAATCTGTAAATGAACAAAAATAATATTGTTAAATTGGAATATATACATCATTTTTAAAATATACATTTCAATTATGAGAACTGCGAACAACTGAGAACATCTTTTTTTCTTGTATTTTATAGATTAAGTATTTAAGCAGCAGTCAAATACCATGTACCACGAAGATTCACAAAACGGATGAGTTATGGTAGGTATCTCTATTCAACATTGATTATTAGTGACAAACACAAGCAGTATATATGCTACTAGATTGTCATTCATAACATATGTTATAGAGCAGAGACAGATAAATTCTACTTACAATAAACAAAATCTTCTTGAGCTATTCTGGCAATGATAGGAACAGATGGATACAAACGTAAAGTTTCCTGAAAGTAAATTGCCAAGTTCGATTCGACTATAAAATTCAGCATTTGTTTTACCTTTATGACACATTCAAGATAATTCATTGATTTCAAATCATCCATCGTACACGGTCTTTCATCATCATCACCTAAAACAGAAAAAAAACTGACAAAATATTTGAATTTTATTTAGTATGAAAAAATGGACGAAGATTTTTTTGTGCCCAGAATTAAGATAGATTTGTGCCCGTTTATGTTTTTTTGTTTTCGTTTACGACGTTTTACGCCCCGTCCAGGCACAAAAAAATCTTTTGGCACTTTTGTGCCCGGTGACAGATATGTGCCCGGATTTGATTGATTTGTGCCCACTTTCAATTAGATTAGAAATAATGATGAGAAAGGTTACTATCAGCATTTATTTATACATATTATTTGGATATATTCAAGTTATCCTGACAGATATCGCTTGTGTCATACGTCTATATGTTTATGTACAAGATGCATAAAGTATTATACAGTATTCACAGACCGGCAATCTTGATCTAGGATGTTTTTCGTAAATTCGATTGATATATTATGCACAGATAGAGAATTCGAAGTAATCATTGGATCATCCTAGTTCAAAGATAACTGAATTCAGAAAGAAGTACAATTACAAAATTTCCAAAAACAACGCGGAAGACCAAGAAAAGTAGGAAATGCGTTATCTGGTGTTTAGCTGTTATGGTTACATATTCTCTCTGTTCTGTCTATTTCTGCCACTACGTCAGTAAATAAATGGTGATAATAACCTTTTTCATTATTATTCCTAATCTAATTAAAACCGGGCACAAATCAATCAAATCCGGACACAAATCTGTCTTAATTCCTGGCAGAAAAAAAACTTTAAGTCTGAAAAATGAACCAATACCAAATATTTGCTTCATCTCTTCATGTAATTTTTCCTGAACATCCAGATTCGATGCAATCATAAAACAAGTAAAATTAATAGCAGCTGCGGTAGTATCATGACCCTAAAAGAGATGATTAGATTACAATTTAAAACAAGATTAATAGGGAACTATACTTCAAACATAAACGTATCAACTTCTTCTTGAATATCGTTTAATGTCAAGTGTTCTTGATGCATTTGTTTGAGAAGTAAATCTAAATAAACGAAGAGATTATTGAATAAAAGAAAGCAAACTCAATACTTTATTCTCTCACCTAAAAATACCATGCGTTTCCCTTTTGTATCATTAGCCTCAAACGCACGTACACGCTCAGTTATAATCTAAACGATAAAGGATTTTATTTTAATTGAGAATGGATAAAAAAATAGACAGGGATACATAATAGCGGTTTTACCGTCGTTTATGAATTCATGTACTTTTTTAAAAATTTTACTTAAAATAGCTTGAGATTTAATCTTTGTACAAACAGAATTATACTTTTATATGTTATTAAAGAACTCATTTCTGTATGTTTGAAAGACATTTTATAATTTTATCAAATCATTAGCGAATTACTTGCTTTCTGTGTGAATGTATGAATAATTTTTAAACATTTATCGTGCTTACGACCAATCGGTGCCAACTTAAATATAAAGTCAGGCCATAGCCAAGGTGATCTTTGTCGTTTAAAAATAATATCCGTTATTCTAAAAAGAACCAGAACAATTACTCTATTCATTGAAGGGGAAATGAAGAGTTCTTACGATACTACAGCATTAACATATTCTGCATTTTTTTGTAATTGAGCACCCACCGTAAATCCCATTGCTGATTCTAAACAAAAATTAAACAAGAGAGCTAAAGAAGTGTAAATGATGTAAATGCTCACCGCATATAATGTCTAAAGTACATGCGGCTATTTTAGGATACATATTAAATGCATTATTGTTTTGTGCATTTTTCTCAATGAGATTAATAAAAAGTTTTGTTTGCTCATTAAGTATGTCCACAAACGTGTTTAAAATTTCTTTTTCATGGAATGCAGGCGTTATTATTCTTCGGCGACTTTTCCATTTTGAACCAGAACTATATAAAAAACGAAAAGACCAAAGAGATATTTATAAGACGCCGACCTCTTCGTAACAAAACGTCAGAATGAACTAACTCGTTTTTTTAAGTTGAAGCTAAGACAACGTATGTGAACAACGTAAAAAGGCTTGATTTTTTATTTAGGCCGTCATTCTTTTACACGCTTGAAAATAATACACCAGTGTCTTCGCTTTTTCTGAACTTTTAGGATAAATTTCTTCTGAAAATAAAACAAAGAAAAAATACAGCTTTTTTACGTCGTTACCTAACTTAATCTGATACTTTAAAACCAACCCGAGCTCTCTAGCTGCTTTCTGAGAGAAGAAATCTGGATACTCCCATACAACTTCGCCCAAGTATACAGAACAGCCGCCAAGATGAGACTGTATGAACTTCCTTCCTAGCACTAGGAGAGGTAAATAAAAGCCCCAATCGTTCTGGCAGGCGTCGGCTGCAAAGTGGGCAAAAAGAGCCCTTTTTATTTTTTGCTCTACTGCCATCAATATATGTGAAATATATCCTAGGCTACAAAATCTCATATAAAACTTTCGTTTTTCTTGTCTTCTTCAGGGTTTTCAGGGTTCTTTACGAAGTTAGTTCCAGAACGCTTTTACAGTTTTCTTACTTTTTTCAGACGACCCGGGTCTTCTAATCTATCCTGAGTTTTGAAGATTTTAGAGGGGTTTTGTATTATGTCCCAAAAAACAATACATGTTCTTCAGCAGTTTTTGACGTTTGTTCGACTTGAACAAAGAGCAAAAGCACATTATGCCACCAGCTGTGAATAAAATAATTCTTTCTGTTACATAAATATATATCTTCATACAGGCGTGCTAATATTTTGACTCAAAATATCGTTTTGTTAGCTGTATAACCGATGTTTTTTCTCATAAAAATCTTAAAAACAGAGGGGGGGCTTCTATTTCAACTATTACATGACGAGGCCGAAGGGGGTCTTCTATTTAGGAAGGGTCTTCTAATGTCATAACCCCTTTTACATTCGTAATCCTTAAGGACAAACTCTCCCTTGAATACTGTTCCATATCGTCCGAAGTTCTCGATCAATGGAAAAAGTTAGACTGAAGGTTGACTTGTGAGGGATCACTTCAAAAGTTGGGTCCTCAGAAAAACCATGTTCTATATGTTTTTTTAGGGAACGATTGGGTCTTTTTCTTATCTCTCCCAGTACTAGGATACCTATCCAAAGAAATTTTCACGGCTCGTCCTTTTATGTAAGTGGGCGGAACTATGTAGAAGTTAGGGGCCAGCAACTCGATCCCAATCCAGCCCTAAGATCAGATCGGGTTCGAGTTGTACTAGTAGGAAACAGTATCTATTGTTCTGTATGAAAAAGATGAAAATATCGTTCCGTAGATAAAAAAATGCTAGAACTACGCGATACTACAACATGTATCGAAAAAGTTTTGTCTAACAAGGCAAGGGTATATTTTTAATAGTCCACGAAAGTTTGGTCTAGATCGAACGTATGGTTACCGAGCTTCTGACCGTGGGGTCCCTTAATTACGTAAAACTAACCTTGTCAGCAAACCGGTTTTAAGCCATGGTTGTAAAAAGTCATAATCAGGTGATTTTGATAAATTTTTTGTTCCACTCAAAACTACCTATATAAGTAAGAAAAAAGACGCAAAATTCAATGGAGTATACACACTAACGTACTTACTTCGAGCCCTTCAGGATGGAAAAAAGCAATAATGGGATACATCCCGAGCCAAATCACAAAAACCAAGCTTTGTTCACTTTCTTCATGAAAACGATGTGCTTGCTGAAAAAACTCTTGAAAAATACTTAATTGAAAGTAGATGTTTCATTGAGAACCTCGTATTAAACTGCTGAATACGAACCGTACTGATCAAACGGAAGTAAGTGAAGGTTTCCGATGAATGGTATATGAGAAGAAGGTGAAGTTAGTTGTCCGTATGCACATCTCAGTATGAAATATTTTTTTAACCACTTATAACCATAACAGAAAATCAGTATAATAAATGTAGCAAATACCAGTGTAAAAGCGAACATAATTCTGTTATCAACTCTAAAAGCAAAATCGAGCTGTATACAAAACACCATTCAAAGAGAGTTATCTATAGGTAAAAGGTTTGAAAAACACCTTTTTGTTTTGATAAGTTCAAGTTGTTTTCAACTGAGCGTGTTGCAAACGTGTTTATTTTTAATTTTTAATAGGTGATATGTGGCACATGCTCATTAACGGTCATTTAGTCATACTTACAAGAAAAGATCGCGCACAGATCATTCAAAAGGACACTTTAAAAACGCATTTTGCTTATTTCTCGAATCATAACATGTTTATTTGAGATATCTTTTAATCGGAAAAAAGCCATACCGAGTAAGGTTACTTCGTTCTTTCGTTTATTTTTTACTCGCGAAATGACTGAAACTATATTTGAAAAAACTTTTTTGTTTTCTGTTTCATTTATCTTACCTTGCATCAATCATAAGTGCAATAAAAAGCAATCTCATGAGTCACATTTCACATACTTTTTAGAAACTCTAATGTTAAGCCTACGAGAATACTTTCAGCACTAAAACGTCAACGTCGTTCATCCAGTTTGCATTGAAACCAATAACTCTGTAAAAGCTTAAGTCAAGAAACTGTTTTTGAACATCAGTTTATATTCTGCTGTTAAAGCCTATATCTGCTCCAGTCAAGAATCCTGAAAGAAATCTCCATCGGACTTTTTCAAGAATGCTGTGGAATGTTTTAATATCTTGATAATTTCACAAATTTTTTGTTAGTATTTAGACATTCCGGTATTTGGTTTAAGGGAAGGTCGTGGACGGTCTAGGTCAACTTTCTTTTTTCCAAAAATTTTCAAAAAATCGGTAATCGTATACCACATGTACACACAACAAATGATCAGAGATGGGCAACTCCGGCTAAGTTCAACTCCAACTCTAACTCCACAGATCCCAACTCCAACTCAGATTCAACTCCAATATGAACTTATTTTGTCTTGATTCATTTTCTTCTTTATTTTATTAGTAGTTGTTTATTTCGCTTTTGTTTACAAGAGTACACACAAAAATAGTCATTTTAACAATTGAAAATTGCATTTCAATAATGTTAATTTTGAAAGCGTACTTTTTGTCATTCTACATCGATGAGATCGGAAAAGAAAACCACTCTGTGAAAATACTCTCTCTACCGGTGCCGACGTGGCAGGTACGCATAACAATTTTTGAGCTAATTTACTTAAAATCGGATATACTGTCTTCTTTTGAAAAATAAGTGAACTATTTTCACTTTCTTCTTTTAGAAAACTAACTATCTCGTCTTGAATAGAATTTTGTATTGTCAAAAACAAAAAATATTTTCAGAGTTGCAAAAATTTTCAACTGGAGTTGTGGAGTTGGAGTTGAAAAATCTGAACTCAGCTCAACTCTAATCTAATAAAAACGAAACTCCAACTCAACTCCAACTCCACTAAAAAGAAGCTCAACTCCGGAGTTGGAGTTGCCCATCTCTGCAAATGATATAGACATTGTACTGTTATAGCGAATTTTCAGTATCAAATTTTTTCTACTAACACACTGCAAAAAACAAGTGTCCTGGGAACTTGTTTTTTCCAATGGAGATATCTTTAATCTTTTTTATTTTGCTGTGCCTACCTACTCGTGTGCAACAATTATTAAGTCGACTGAGTGAAACGTAGAGACCCAGAGCATTGCCTAGCAAAAATGTTCTTTCTTTTTCTTTCTATCCAGACTCTTTTTTTCTCGTCCGAGTCAGTCACCCGTTCTCGGTTATCTCTGATCGTACAGATTTCCGGAAAAGATGATTGGAAAGTAAGGAAGTCGTAGATGACCAAAGATGTTAGAATATGAAAAAAATATGTAAGATGAAATGTCCTTAGTAAATACGTTGATATAGTATAACTGCAAGATACTAGTGAGCTGCCCAAGTCCACTTTCTTATCGCATATCGCGGTTGTAAGAGAAAAATGCGATCGCAACGTGACAATTTTTTCTTATAGTGATCGCACTCGGATCGCGCAGTCACACAGCGATCGCTAAAAAGTCGTTATTGTCGCGGTGTGATCGCGAATTTTCGAAATATATATTCGAAAAATATATATATTATTCGTGAATTCTTCATCACGATCGCGCCGCGACAACAGCGACTTCAACAGCGAGATCTGCTGATGTATATAGAATCCAACAGACTTACTGGAATTGCAAAGAACATCATATTCCGTAAAGGGGCATGAAAAGTATGAAAAGTAGAAGAGGTTGAAAGTATTGAATAATACTAAAATATAATATAACAATAAATCACTCGTTGAAATTTGATCGATATTGCCACATCTTTTTAGACAACAGTACGTCACACATGTTTTTCATATTCTAACACTCCTCTAGATGACATATCTGAAGTTAGTTTTCGGATATTTGTTTTAATTAATCTATAATTAGTCCCACAAAATGAGTATATCTGTTAGAAAACTCTATCGTTTTTCCTATGAGATAATTAATTGTCACGTGATTCACTTCATAGTGAATATATGCTACAGTGCTGGATATGATGAAAGCGATACTATAGTAGAATATATGACATGATAATGAATCAGCTGATATAACAATGTACATTCTTCTTGAAAAATAGTTAAATTATTATTACTTTCTCGATGTTCTAATTTCATCTGTTTACCATTCCACTCAGTCGACTTTCCAATCTTCCCGAAGAACAGTTAGCTCTCTAGTATTTTCAAGCCTCAACGTATGTAGAGCACACAGTTCACACTATCAGAAATATATGTCTTGAGCGACACTTGCCAAAAAGAAAAGATTATATAACACAAAATACGGCGCGAGTCGAAGATAGAAAGTCTGTGCTTTGTTGCAATTTACGGACTTTAATGTTTTCCAAAGCCACGTCGCACTTCTTTCAGTCATTAGACTGACACTTAAACATTCAGAGTGACAGTTGCGCATTCCGGTGCACACGTCTACAGTAAGATTCTTCCTTGGTGTTGGTAGAAATAAAAATTAGTAAAAAAAACAATCTGTTGTCTGTGACGAGACTGTCGTTCGTGTCAATGAGAGTTATTAACTAAGCCGACCGAGTGATCGAGGAGAGTTATTCTGTTTCACCATAAAAGATTTTTCGTCTTTTCATAAGCTTTTGTTTCTCGAGTCAATCACTCGTTCTCAGCTATTTCTAATCGTAGGGATTTAGGACAAAGACCAATAGAAAGTCTAAGAGCTATAGATGACACATCTGAAATTAGTTTGTCGATATTTGCGTACTATATGAGCTCTAAAACCTGAGCATATCTTCAAGGACTCGACCGTTTTTAATATGCGATAATTAATCGTCACGTGACATTTCATATATATATTTATGAAATGTCACGTGACGTATACATATATGAAGCTTATTCAGTATAAACAGTGTGCAGTAACTCACTAAGTGATCACGTGCTACTTATCAGTCTATCCTGCTGTATACACTGAACACCCATTCAATTTTATTTTTTTAATGCGGTGCGAAGCAATACCGCATTATAGTAATTCCTTTCTAGATCGAAAAAGTATCGTTTTCTGTAACGATTTTCTCGGGAACTGGAAGGGATGCAGTAAAATTTTAAACGTGAATAGGAAACTGTGTCTGAATTAATAAATAAGCTGTTTTCAGTCTTTGCAGATGTTCTAATGGAGAGTTAGGACGTTCGAAAGTACGTGACTTAAACGTCTGATACTTGTAATTTTCTTTCAGAAGACATCGATAATTAATCTGAGTCATTCATGTGCAGGTGCATTTATAAGAGAGTACGCTCCCATACTATGTGATTCATTTCATGACAATGTTTTTATATGTATTCAGCGAATAATTAACGCAATGCCTGGACTCTAAATGCGTTACTGTTTTAAAGATGATCCCAATCAAAAGTACTCCAGTCGAAATATCTAGATGCTTTGGCTGGAGTATCGGTTGATATCTTTTACTCTTTTACCTAAATATTCCAGCTAGTGCATCGAGTTAGCTAGCTGCATCAGTCGATGTATTGCCCAATATATTTGAATACACCGAGTTTTTCCCAATGAAAATGTCAATTCATGGGCAATGCTATCTAGCTGCATCGAGAGAAACATTTATCTGCATCTATATATGTCGACCAGCAAATTGACCACCGAGATGCATTGGGCGATACTCGATGCTTTTTCTATGCTTGCGATTAACGCAGTACATAAGATAAAATCTCTAGGCTATGATAAAGGTTAAAGCTTTAGACTGATAAATCATTATTTGAACCTCACAACTCTCCCTGACTCCAGTAATCAAAACATTTTTTTGTTATGCAGGTAATCTACACGTTCTTCATCAGTTATGTGGTAAGGTTGTTGTCAAAAAAATCTTCACCTCCGGTTATCATATTTAGCTGCTTCGCACCGCATTTGCAACTCTCGCTGGCGTGATTGCCGTCTAGTTCTCTATTACCTCTAGACTCTCTAGTTTATATAGAAATATACACATAAACTAGAGAACCTAATAATTGAGCAGTGCTGCTCATGTAAAGAAGTCAAACGGTGCATGAAGTGTTTTTCAGAAACGTATCACTTGGTCGGCTTTCCAATCTTCCCGAAGGGCAATTGGTATCTGGCTATACAAGTGCGCTTATGACAGGGGCGTGTATCCTATGGGAAGTTTGAGGCACAATGCCTCAAACAAACATAAGTGGGACGCTTTTTTGCTGTAAAAAGTCATTTTTCAGGTGGTTTCCTGAAGGCTCCGACCCCTGTGGTGGTACAAAAGGCATCAGATACTTAGGTGGAGATAGACGCCGGTGGCTTATAGATACAGGAAAGACATACAAATGATTGATTGGTTTTTCGACATTTTTTTCTCCAAATGACATCATGGACAAACCATTTATTCCTATATTCATTTGTTATCTTGTTTTTCTATGTTTCTTTTAACTTTTGTCAACAGAAAACAATTGAGCAACAAGAACAAATGACCAAAAAGAAAAAAATACAATAAATAAATTGATTATTACAGTGTGCGCATGTGTGTGAAAACAAGAAAAATGAACGTAGCAAAAGAGACAGACATTGATGGATAATGGAAAAATTCATGTCTTTCGCTGCTATTTAAAATTTTTTTTCTAATAAAAACCACTAATAGTACGTGAAAACATGTTTTGAGGTAGGAGGTTCAGACTGAAAATCGAGCATACTTTCGACAGATAAAAAAACAACTGGAACTTGGTATATGCGTGCAATTTAGAATAGCTACATATTTGAGGTCAGGAAAAAAGGAATTTCGTTGAAGTATATGAAATTTGTCGAAGGTCAGAAGGAAACAAACTGAACTAGACTGACAAGAAAGCTCATGGGCAAATAACAGTAACATAAACAATACAATTAAATTGAGCAACAAAAACAGAAAATAACCCGATCCATATAGAACAGTTTGTGTGTGTTTAGTCACTTCTCAAAAGTTAAACATTGCAGAGTATATAAAAGACAAAAAAACTGTATCAAATGGCAATTGTATCAGATCTTCAGTTTCCTCTATAATGCGATAGAGTGGAAGACTTGTTCAACAAGAAAAACAAATGGTATCAAAGATAGCCCAAAAATGACGTATCATTTTTTGAGCAAGAGGAAAACTGATCCACTTCTATACATTAGACCTAACATCTTTGATACAAATTCTCCATTTTGTCAAAAAAATAGGACCACCTTGATTAAAATGATTGAATCTCAACTATACTGTTTAAACAAAAAATCAACAATCATGAGTACTTGAATTCTAGAACAAACAAAAGAAGAAAGAGCACTGCATCGACAACAAAAAAAATTGTGCCAAGACGAAATAACAGTGGATAGTTTTTATTCTTGTCACCAAATAAAAAAAGCACAGAGAAAAAAAATATGATTGTAATATACTTACATGTGATGATTATAGATACAAGCAAAATAAAAATTGTTCATTATGTATGTCGTCCACGTTTTGTTTTATACGGTATGCCATCCGTTAAATCATCTGTCAATGCTGTAAGATAATCACGTTTTCTTGCCAAATGATTTGCAACTTGCTGACGAAAAAAACTATCGAGTTCATTAGTGTTTGTATTGAATGATGTTTGTTGAGGTGATGAATTTGTTTGTTGTTGTTGATGACGAAAATGATTCGAATTAATAGATGTACCTGTTGGCGTTTGTGGTAGTGATGGTGCTGTAGGTGATGAATATAAATAATTATTACTGTCATAAGCTGAAGATGACACACTGTTAGCGCTATCCATATCTAAACAGAACAAACACAATTTCACTTGAAATCTAACTTTAGCCCAGCTGAACTGAGAGACTTATTTTTACTGGAAACTCAGACCGACAGAACTCATCAGTAAAAGATCCTTAAAAAAATTGTACAAGTCTTCAATCGCATTTGAGTAGAGAAAATTTACCATGCATAACAAGTGCTTCTCTAAATGTTTGTAATTCATTTGTATCGATTGGTGCTGGTGGTGCTATATGTTGTTGTTGTTGTTGTTGTTGCTGTACATTGTCTGTTAAAAGACTTTCTCTTACAACTGATGAATCACATCGACGTTGTGATGAGATACTGCCAATAGGAGTTGGTCGTACAAACTGATACGGGGGCCGTCCAATTAAATAATCATAAACTTCATCTGTTCGTATATGACGACGTTGTTTTCGTCTTGCCCAACAAAGTAATTCTTTTGTTTTACGTTGTTCGCCATAAACTGTACCGAGATCAATAGCATCTTTGAAGGCATCAAGACTCTCTACAATAAAAACAAATAAAAATAAAAACAATAATTTGTGCTCTTCCAGGTCGATTTCATACGATCGTAAACGACGATTTACGACCTCGTTATAACTATAAACCGATCGTATACCATGGTCATTTACATTGCCCTGGACTGTTATTAATTCATACCTTTATATAACATTGTGACTGATCCAGCTGCGACTTGAAATGAATTCCAATTTGCAGTACCATTTGATCGTTCTAAAGACAAACATTGATAAAAGTAATAAGAAAAAGCAATAATAGAAATAGCTTACCACGAAACATTTTTGTTAGTGCTTTGGCAGCATTTTGAAATGAAAGAAATAGTTTTTGATTATATAAATCTTTTCCATTTTGCATACTTTCATTCATGATTTTTTCTAATTCATGTTCATATTTTGTTAGTGCATTTTCTTCGCTATCTACAATTCTGTCTGGTGAATCAGATTCCGGACTGTCCATAGCAGCCGTTTGTTACTTTATTTTAATTATAAACTGAGAGTATATCTAAAATAAAACTTTCTTGAAATATGTTTCAATTTCCTATCGTATATTGGCATGGAGAAGAATAAATCATCGGAAGCGTCAGTTTACACCTACCGAAGTATATACACTATTAGAATACAATTACCAATATCAAGAACCAAAAAAATGTATGAATACCGAACTATAATGCTTTTGCGTACTCTGCTGCTTTTTTTTCGTTATTTGAATTTTTTCCTTTCCCTGTTTTACCCAGTCTGTCATTTTGGACAGATGCGACGAGAGGTTGCCGAAAGAGGTCGCCATCAGACACCAGATGCCTGGTCCGCTTTATTCTTTGACTCTTATATCACTTTGTATCTAGATCAGCACTTTGTTTTATGAACAGAATGAGCCTATAAAACCTTGTCAATAGTTACTATGTATCGATTGTAGCGCTTAATTAATTTTACGAATGCACTAAGTTTGCATTCTATTACTTGTAATCTCACCCTTTACTAATATGAGGACGCGCTTTAGAATCTCTTGACATCAGATTATAAAGGCTAAGGATACTCAACCAATCAATCAGCTGTTCGGTTTTATATGGAAAAAAATGATCGAACCAAAAAAAAAAGAAAACAAGAGACAAACAAACAAATAAATGAAGATTCATGAATTGCGTCGATCTTCTCTTTTATTTATGAAATAAATATTTGTGATTACGTCATCGAACCAAGAGATGGATGACAGTAATCATTGTGCCTGAAAAAGCTATTAAATGTGTTGATGTTTAGGTTTCTACTTACGTGGCGCAACGTTATTCTAAAAAGCTGCTTATTTCAAAGTTTTCTTGTTGAGGTATAGATAACAGAATAAACTTAGGCAAGATTACTCTCAGAAATGCAATTAAAATAGATAAGAGATATTATGCTCTGTTGTTGTTCTGATATTAACATGCTTATATTATGCTAAACTATTTTCTAGATTTGTTTTTCTATTTACAAGCAAGAAACACAGCGACTGATATCTCGTAAGTATTTGCAACGTAGTTCTAAAAGAAAATTACCTTTTGTGCAATCAGTTTCAATAGACCCTTACACTGTTGTCTATATCACATTTTTTTCTTTGTTTTTTAGTTCAATTATGGAAAAAGGTGATGGTATGCAACAAAATCAATCGACTGGAGTCACTGCCACCCCAACTGCTGCACCAACAGCAGCTTCGCCAGGTGGTACAACTGATACAAATACTACTGGCACCACAAATGTACCGAGTTTATTAGGTGTACAGCCACGTTTAAATAGTATGGGTGATGATGCAAGTGGCTTTTTAGCAATGAGGTAAACATAGTTTTATTTAATAGAAGTTTGTGAAAATCTACAATCGAGTATGCGTGTAGGTTTTAATCCAATCGTTTAGAATGATAGACTAAATAAGTTTTCGTCAAACCTTCTCTTGATAAATGGCGAATTCATTACAGTTTTGATGCTAAAAAAAACCGTTCAGGTTCCAACTTCTATAGACAAATTACAACTTTATAATTATTGTACTGATGGTTAGTGTCAAAAATGTAAATATTCCGTCTGTTAATGATGTTGTGGCATGTTCAAAGGATTGTAACGATTTTCTTAAAAGCTACACGATAACTTAACCATGTTTGATTTGAAGAAGTGTCATAGATGCCATGTTTTTAATTACTCAAAAGTGACTTATTTTAAAGTCTTGTTACTGTAGTATAGGAAATAAATTAAAAATCAAAAAGTTGTGAGTCATTTTCTATTCATGAGAATATAACACATCGATTTTTGATTAAAAATAAGTTAACATAGCCTAATAGAAATAGATTGAATAAATCTGATAAATATTAAAAGCTTTTGGTTGTTTCGAATGATGTCTGCAGAAGTATCATGTATGGATGTGGGATATACATGTACGAATAAATTTTCAATAACTATTCTAATTCTACTAATTTTAATCTCTCATCCAAGTAACTTGTTCTATACTGAAGGATTTAAAACAAATATATCTGTAAATAATAATCATATTAAATAAAGACTAGCAAAAAATGATTTTTAGTACTCATGAAACCAAAAAAAAAACATTTTATACCATATATAAGGAAAAGGAACGTATTATGTGTGTGCGAATATACATATGTGTGACGTACCATGCTTGTTAATACGAGTGAAGTACAGATTTTAGGGTGAAAGGAAGAAGAAGAAGGAAGATAGCATATGACCTGTTTTCGCTCTTTCCTCATCGTTTTTTCTTCTATGTATATTTGAAATGATAACAAAAAACTATGTGGGATAAAATAACTGTCATATACAGAAGCAAATCCTAAACCCCGCAGTCCATTCTCCTTGTTTTTTCCATTTAAAAAAAACATATTCTGTACTTTTCTTTTGTTTCTTGTTCTGTACTGAGTGACGATTGTATGGAAGAAATTATCTAAATGCTGACTGACTTTTTTTTATGTTAGGTGGCTTCTTTTTCGATAAATCTTTGAATTAGACGCTATTTGTCACATTTCTTCTACATGCTAACTGATTACTATATAACTTATGTCAGGACATATTGTCTTTTTTAGTTTATGATTAGTTTGATGCTGTTGCGCAGTAGTAACAGGTGTTTCCATCCCATTTAAAGGTGATTTATAACATAGTGTAATTATATATTAACAGTAGAATAATGTTAATTCGGTTACAGATTATATCCTTGATTATAATCATATTTTCACATCTACCCATGGTGAAAATTTATAGTATCGATAGAATGAGGACACCGCACAATTAATTAATCAGACTGATGTCGAATCTATGCATTTATCAACTCATTCAATGTACTTTAACGATTATGTGCAGTTTTTAGCGATGTTTAGCGCTTGGTCAGCTTATTCCTAATATTTTTTTATCTTGTTAATTTGAAGATTGAGATTATCTTTGTAATAACTAATTACGAGTAAAGTGAAATGAGTGTTGTCGATGAGGATGATAAAAATTACGATACAGAAGGTATTGAATCTGATCATGGTGATCATACAAAAACAGTACCAAATTCTCAAGATATTTACGATTCTCTCACTAATAATAAAGCAAGAGAAAGTGAATTTTATGAACCAGTGTGAGTTTCATAATATTCTTTTTCATATTTTTTCAAGATTTTTAATATAATCTTAATCTACGTCTTTCATTTCAGTTTACCACCTGAAGTGATTCGTCGTGTTAATGCATTAAGAAATTTACAAGCTGAATATCATCAATTAGAATCAAGTTTTTTTGAAGAAGTTCATACTCTTGAATGTCGTTATCTTAATAAATATCAACCACTATACGAAAAGGTTTGTTTAGTTGAATGATAGCTATAAAAACCGTTCCGTTAACGTCACATATCTGTTTTCATTTAGCGTCTATCCATAGTCAAGGGTGTTTATGAACCTACGGATGCTGAAGCAAAATGTGCATTCGATGGAAATGATGAAGAAGTACCATGTTCATTTATAGAGTTTATAGAATTTTTTTATAATTATAATTTTCATTTTAGACTGATGACGAAGAAAAAAAAACCGGTGATAAAACTGATGAGAAAAAAGATGAAAAAACAGAAGGTAACAACATATAACATACTTTTTGCTCTAATAATTCAATGTTCTGTTTATTAGGAAAATCTAGTGGTATACCAGACTTTTGGTTACAAGTATTTAAAAATTCGGATGTATTGTCTGATTTGATTCGTGTATGTAACTCGTTTGACTTCTATATGCATCATTCTATGTTCTATTTTTTATCTCGTTCAATTGTAGGATGTTGATGAACCAATTCTTAAACATTTAATCGATGTTCGTATTAAAATGCATGATGAAGCACCTCAAAAGGTACACAAATAAAAAGAGCAACAAAAATATCTCTGTTATCTTAGAAATCGATACGTGTAGTTATTAAATGGGCGCTTAGACCAGACGAACATTGTAAAAAAGAAATTATTCTCTTGTTTCATTCTGTCATTACTCTAATCCTGAACTACTCTTAAATCTTGCTCAACAAAGAAGTACCTCTTTATGACATTGTTTTGTTTAGGGATTCACCATTGAATTTGAGTTTACAGCCAATGATTATTTTTCAAATACTATTTTAACGAAAAATTATGAACTACGTACTGGTCCTGATGAAAAAGACCCATTGTCGTACGAAGGCCCAGAAATTATTAAAAGTAAAGGGTATGCATCTTACATTTTCACTAGATTAGTCAAAAATATCTCTTGTATCTTCTTGTTCTCTATTTCAAGTTGTACAATTAATTGGAAAAAAGATAAAAATGTTACTATCAAAATGGTTAAAAAACGACAAAAACATAAAAATCGTGGCACTGTACGCGTTGTTACCAAAGAAGTTCAAGCTGAATCGTTTTTTAATTTCTTTAATCCACCTATTGGTACGTTTTTATTTTATTTTATTTTAATACACATGTCATTAGACCATGAAATCTTTTTTTTTATCTAGTGCCAGATGATCCAGAAGTTGATATTGAAGAAGATGCCGAACAAGTGTTGGCAGCTGATTTTGAAATTGGACATATGCTAAGAGATTCAATTGTACCTAAAGCTGTTTTATATTATACGGGCGAAGCGGGGGATGATGAAAGTGGTGATGTAAGTTTTTATTTGAGTTCATGTTGACGAAAATGTTTTTATTTCCGTATTTTGTTTTAGTTTGATGAAGATGAAGTAAGACAATTGAAATTTTTTCATTTCTGGTTTACTGTAAAAAATCTTATCAATTTTTTACTTTAATTTTAGGACGAAGAAGATGACGATGAAGACAGTGACGAAAACGAAGACGAGGATGAGGTAAGAATGGTTTAGGACGATAAACATTGAAATATGACTCAATCTATAACCAAGCTGTTTGAAAGAAACATAGTACTAATCTGATTTCTTTGTGGCATTTCTAGGAAAGACACGGTGGAGCACATCATCATGGAGGACGAGGGGGTCAACATGGAGGAAAACATCCACCAACGGCACCAGGAGGAGCTGGAGTAAGTTTTAACCATATTGTTATATAAAAGTCTTGCTTGATGAGGGATCTACTGTTCAAGCAAATTTTCTCTTTTTATTTTTCCAGGCTGCTGTTAAAAAATAAGCAAGGTCAGAGAATGTGTGTGACCATAAAAATACCTTGTGTCCATTTAGTTTTTTCTTCCTTTTTTGTATATATGTTAGGAATGTATGTTTGAATCTGCTAGTTTGGGATTTAGTGATCAATGTTACGAATCTTTGCGCTAAAGTTTTCGTTATATAATAAAACACGTTGAGACAGTTTTTCTGCGAACGTTGTTAGATTAAGTCATTCTTTTAACAAATTGAAACAAAATGGATGGTCAGATTTGTGCTTCGCTGATGAGTAATTCGGGTCATGCTTTGGAATGGTTATGCTTTTATAAAGTTTCATTTTTGTCTACCATCGAACATAAAAGAATATTTTCAACGTATTTGCTAAAAGTCGCGCTAGCTACTTTTAAATATGGTTTGATACATCAATGAGCACAGTAAAGTTCTGTACGTTTGGTATAGATCTGGCTACTAGGCGAAAATGTTCTTAGCTTTTAATCTTAAGTTGTATGGAAGAGCGATGACAATCTGTGTCGGAATGCCCTTAATTGTTCATGTTCTGTTTGTTGTTTATTCGATGGCTAACAACAAACTACTATATTTTTTTGTCTTTGTTTAGAGATCTGGCAAATCTAAAGGTGCAGGTGGTGGTAATAGTGCAGGGAATCAACAACAGCCCGAATGTAAACAACAATAAATATATTGATAGTGAACAATAAATCTACCCATTGGCACACGCACACGAGAACATCAATTTTCTCTGTTTTTTTGTTTTGTTTCGTGAAAAGAAAACTGTATTTTATTTTTTCTTGTTGTCCTTGTTGATTTGTAATGTTATGTACATCAAAAGAATGAACGTGAACTTATCTTAGTTTTGTTTTCTTTAGTGACATACAGAAATTCATTGATGCACATGTTGTTCCGTTCTCTCTTTAATAATTGTTGTGTTATATTGGATAAGATTTGATCACGTTTATGTTTTATGGAAAAAAAGAGTCCAATATAACATGTGTCAGATCATTTTTGTTTATTGCTATCGTTATTTCTCGTGCCATCTATAAATTCTAACTATTGTGTCGAAAAGAGAGAATTTTTTTCTTCTTGTTTTCTGGGTGATTTATTAACTCTTTTTTTTCGTCATTGTTCTGTATCAACATTTCTTCTTTCACTTGTGCTGTGCGTGCATTTTAAGAATTGTTATTGTGTTATTTTATTGTTCATCATTTCAGCATAATTCCATTACCGACCACCTAAAAATGGAAAAAAAGAAAATATACACAAAATAATTCAGGCTTTGTTTGTTGTATGTTTATTGTTTTAGAAAAAAAAAGACATCGCGTTACTTCCAAGTCATTAAGTTTTTCTAAAACAAATACTTTTGCCAAGCTCAAAACAACGGTAGTTATTTCGTTTATGTCGTTTCTTAATGAACGGATTCATGTGCTGTCTTAACGGTTGTAAAATTTATTTTAGTACCATGTCGAGCTAAACCAGCGGGGAGTATACCACCACCTGTTAAATTATATTCATTTTACAGAAAAGCGCTATTATTATTCTCTAAATAGAAAGCATCAGTTAATTTTTTTTCTGCAGATGTTATTTATCGTTTTAAACTAATTGTCATCAGCGAGCGTATAAATCCATAGTTAGTAATTTTCATAGTTTGTTACTTCTAACATGAATTGAGTTATTTAGTGATCAGGCTCTTCTAGTTCCAGTTGAATTGATGGAAAAACTTAAGAATTAATTTTATTTTCCATATTCTGACCGATGAACACTAACGGACTAATAGAAAAAAGAAAAGAAAAGAAAATTAATCATATCAATCAGATTTTGTGATAACATTTTCTCGCTATATGTCAACTGTTTATAAGACTATCGAGTTAGTGGCCGACCAATCTGATACACATCTTTTGCTTCTAGGAAAAAGTGGGAAATAATAAAACGTATTTTCTCATTATTTTGGTTTGTAAAATTATCCACGTTCTCAATACAAATAATTTCGAAAGAATAATTCTTGTGAAATAACATAAACACAAATGTCATCACTTTTTCTTTCTTTCTTTATTATGTTCTTCAAAAAGTAAGAAAACACTAAAAATGAAGTTTCCCTCCTCTGAAGTGCATACAAGCGTGAACGTCTGTAACTTATTAGTACTAATGAGTACGAGATATTAGTATCTTTTGTTTTTCTTTGACTCTTTACTTCATGCGAGTATCATGTATCTGTGCTCAAAAGTCTTCTATGTGTTAGCGGTTCGAACATCATTCTTGCTTGTTTGTCTATTTTTTTCTACTTCACTTGAGATCGTTAGGAAGAGCATCTGTTATTGCTAACCAGTTTTTCACAAATAAATCCAATTGAATATCTATTTTGGTAACATCTGTTAGCGTTGTTAGAGAAAGAATATTATTTTAATCGAAATGCTTTTCACATCACGAGTTAATGTTTATCAACGAATTTGAACAATTTTTGCCATATACAGAGTTTATAACTATTTAAATTTATTGATTTGTTTCATCCTTGAATTAAATGTTTGATAAAAATGTAAAAGTTTTTGATTTTTTACAGATCGAAAAAAGACTTGCTTGTACAACAGAACATGACTTAAACAAGAATAAAAATAATGGCCTGTCACGATGAATATGAATGTTTGCCAGATACAGTGCATCCAGTGGTTCATGCCTCTGCCGGTGCATTAGCTGGCATCGGAGAACATTGTGTTATGTATCCAGTCGATGTTGTCAAAGTAAATTATGTCTAAAAATGGATGAAAATCATAGCGTCTAGACATTGTTCGGTTTTCTTTTCTATTTAAAATTAGACTCGGATGCAGTGTATAAATCCAGATCCGCATGCGAAGTATAGAGGCATTACGCACGCTATGAGAGAAATCATCACTCATGAAGGTATTTTTCGGCCAGTAAGTCTTTTAGTTTTTGTTGCACTTAAATGTTAACATTAATTGTTGACTTATTTCAGGTACGTGGCATGCATGTTGTTGCTCTTGCAGCCGGTCCTGCTCATGCTCTTTATTTTTCATCTTATGAAAAATTGAAAATAATATTTAGTGGAAATTTACAAGCTGGCCATAATCCAATAGCAAATGGTATCTATCATCTTTATATTGATAGTAATGTATATTTCTGTAAATCTTAATATTTTTTAGGATTGGCCGGTTGTTTCGCAACATTATTTCACGATGCCATGATGGTACCTGCAGACGGTAAGGAATATTTTCAGTATTCAAATTTATTTGATCACACAATAGCTATAAACTGACATTATATAAGCATGTTAGATGGATGGATTGTGCCAGAGGAAAGTGTCTTGTCTGAAAAGCTTAAAAGTTAATTAATTATGTTAACCACAATAAATCTACGTCATTCGGTAAATCATTTGAATTATTTTCTGTTTTCTTCATCATTCGTAGCTATCAAGCAACGTCTTCAAATCTACAACTCCCCCTACAGTGGCGCGATTGATTGTTTAAGAAAAGTGGCCCGTAGTGAAGGTTTAACTGCTTTATATCGTAGTTACACAACACAATTAACAATGAATATTCCATTTCATTCTGTTCATTTAATCACATATGAATTATTACAAGATACACTAAACTATGATCGCACATATGACCCGTTATCACATGTGATATCCGGAGGCGGAGCAGGTGCCATTGCCTCAGCATTTACAACACCACTGGACGTATGTAAAACATTACTTAATATTCAAGATTGTTTACCACAACATTCTTCGTCAACAACAACTTCAACTAGTACAGCAATTAAATCATCTCCAGCTAACGGTCTCTTTACAGCGATACGTTATATTTATACAAATGGTGGTATATTAGCATTTTTTAAAGGACTAACACCTCGTGTTCTCTATCAGGTACCGTCGACGGCCGTAGCTTGGTCGGTGTATGAATTTTTCAAACATTTTCTATCAGCACCAACAACAAAAACAGTGAGTGCAGGTGATTTAATATCCGATGATCAAACAAAATTATCAAATCAAATAACAGACACCAGGCATATGACTACATCTTCTCACCCTCATCATACTCAGCCTCACAGTCATTCAATTCTTCATTTATTGTCTACATCAACAACACATGTGCCAAAATAGAAATTAAATGTGAAGAATTTTTTCCGTTATTTTTAATATTTTGTTATTCTTGTTATTGTTATATAGAAAAAATCTTTCATACATATTAGTAATTTGGCAAAAAGAAGAGAAAATTATTTTTATTTTTCAATGTTATTGTTAGTACTTTTGTGCAATCACAGATTTTTTCTACTTGTCATGGTTTTGCTGGAATACAGAAGGAAAAAAAAGAAAATTGCCTTCAAAAATCCTTTTTTTGCGCAAATCTTGTTTTTTTGGACCTTAAATGCATATTGACTAGCGGATAATGTTTCTTTACGTTCAACTTGGTATGTGAATATCCTTCAATTTTCATAATATTGTTCTTCATCTTGTTCCAATTGTAATGATCGATGGGAATTAATTAATTCAACTGGTTTCTTTATAGCAGTACTATCGAAACATGGTACCAAATCATAGATTAATTGTATTTTTTGTTGTGGATAATTCATAATTGAGCAATAATGTGCATTTCTCTCAATGAATTTATTTACTTGTTCCTTCATTATCATTTGTGATTTAAAATTTAACAATGTATAGATGCCATATCGACGTATTATCGATGGTATACTAACAAATAGATCATTGGTTTCAAGATTAATTAAATTTATTTTCCCATTGTCTTTGTGTTGAATATATTTTTCAACATTTGTTGATAAAATATGAATAGTATCGGAATTACTTGCAACAGAATGTAAAATATTTGATAATGTTATAGCTCTTAAATACGAACATTGACTTTTGCATACATTCAGTAGACAATGCCATTTTTGTAAATGATCACAAATTAAGTTTTTTATTGTTGGATAAAATGAAGTCTCATGATCAAACATAATCAATTGGTGTTTCTCTTTCTGTTGCATTTTCATATTGTCATTTTGAAAAATAGTCTTATTATCATTTTTATCTACTAAAAACAACGTATTTATTATTAAATCATTCGATTTTGAATGTAATTGTTTTTTTCTTGATGTTTTAACAAATTTTTTAATTGAATAAAAACTATTTTCATTTTTTGATTTAGATTCTTTCATATATTTTATTGTTGTCTTGGATGAACTTAGCCGTAACCATTCTTGTATACGTAACGATGTCTTTTTATCAAGATAAGTATGTGTCGGCGTCTTTCGTGTTTGTAATTGTAATTTTTTATTCGACAATGACGATACATTCTCCTTAGTTGATATTCTAAAATGTGAAAAAAAGTAGTTGTCTTTCTTATCAGAATTCCATATTGAAGTTACTTCTTTTGTCGACGTTGTGTTGTATCGTTACTTGATTGATTCATATTTATATTTTGTTCAATAGTTTTATTATTCTCTACTGTTCTCATCTCTTGTGATATAGATAAACCGTTCAATGTTATACTCGGCCAATATGGATTCCATTGCTCTAAATCATTTCCTAAACAAAAACCGGTCAAATTCTTTGAATTGATGTCTAGTAATTGGGATAAAATATATTTCAATCTTTGACAATGAAGACTTGTTCCTGTACCACATACACGCCATGATTTTAAATTTCCCAATGATTTAATAAGTAGACAATTGTAATCCGTTGGATATGCACCTGTAATAAAAACAATAAAAAGTTGTAGAAAGACTAGTAAATCAATACACTCAAATTGAAAAATATTGATGAAAAATAAAGTTAACTGCGATATAGTATTACTAAAGTGGCTTACTAATTAGAAAAACAGCATTTGGACTCATCTTTACAATTGAATCAATAATTATTGATTGTTTGAAACGTTCAAAAATTTCTGTTGATCCATCTTTGAATGAAAATTTTGTTTTATCATTTTCATATTCTTTTGTATGACTAATTATAATTATATTCGAATCAGATGTTTTCTGTATGTCAGATGATATAGATATATGAATATTTCGTGTCTGTTTACAAATGTTAAATGCACATAAAAGATCATTTAAGTAAGTGGAACATATCGTTGTTGGATCATAGATAATGACTTGACTAACAAAATTTTGAATTGCTAAATAACACACGGTTGCATACGTTGTTCTATCAGTTCCAATAATTGTACACTTTGAATGTATATTAAATTTATTTGAATTTAATTTTTTACTAAATATTTGTTCACATAATGAACTAAATTGTACTGTTTTCTGTTGATTTTTGAATGTTTGAACAATTGTATCTAATCGTTCTTGGTCACTTTTATATTGTGGGAAATAGACAATTTTATTTGTTTTACTTGATAACGACTGCTTATCACATTCATGATGATTGTCAATCTGTGATATAGATTTCTTTGTAAGAAGAGATTTTTCATTATGTGAAACATATGACAGACGATGGTGAGGTAACATTCTTGCCGCGATATTTGCGAACGATAATTTTACTATTCAAATCAAATGTAGTCATTTCTTATCCAATTTCAAATTAGCGATATCTCATCGTTATCCGTTTTTTAGCTGCTACTCTATTTTATATTGGAAAAAAGAATGTTGTCAAGGTGATAATTATATGATTAAGTGGCCTTAACGATGATGATATTGTGTAGAATCTCCACTTTTTCTTAATGAGGATGTTGAGCTAAATACTGAACCACTGTAGTATTCAATAGGATAGACGTGGATGTCAATCAGAGATCCTATACAAACGATTTCTTTCATTTTTTTGCACTATCATCACTGAGAGTAATTCAAATTATGTATGTGCAATGTGTATGTGTTATGTTATTCCTGCTTCGCGAGATAATGTTGAATATTTTAGTTATTCAAAATATTTTGACTATGTTTTCGAAAATTAGTCCGAAAAATTTAAAACAAAAACGCGTGCCATTGTAATATGAGTATTTGCATAATAAAAGTTGTCCGCTAAGTTCTTTGCTATTGCGGATTATCTAAATAGTTATCCTTGATATTTTACATTCCAAAAGATTTTCTGTCACCAATCTAACTTCCACCTTCAGTCAGGATTATGAGAAAATTCCTAAAACTCAAATTTGAAATTAAATTCGAGTTTTAAATTCAAAAATACTGTTTTAAAAAATTTAAATTTCCGTAAATTTTAATTTAAAATTTGAGTTTTAGGAATTTTGAAAATTTCCTTACTCATCTCATGTAGAATTTGATGCTGAACAATTTTTCCTCTCACACTTTTCTTCCAAAATGCTTCTATCGTACAAAACCTTGTTCCAGACTGCCACTTTTCCCGAAGGAAATAAGTGAATTTTCAAGATGTCATTTTTCCAGAAGTAGTGAATATTTTATTTATTTTGAAAAAAAATAAATATTTCATTGTATTATTATTAGTGTTAGATATCAAACAAAAGAATTAAAAAATAGTGCTGTTACTAATGTGCTCCTAGTCCATATTCAGAAGCGTTCTCTTCTCTTTATTGTGCTCACACATTGTGCACTATGTTTTCACTTGTCTCTGAAATTGGCAGACGTAGTGTTAACAAATACGTATGTCTCAGGAAAATGTCTACCATACGAGAAGCATAAGAGATAGAGAAGTCAGCCTTGCGCAGAATCGTAGGGTAGACATTGGGCTAAAAACCTCCTAGAACACCACGAAAAAATTTCACGATATACACTTTAAAGTGTGCTCTATAAACTTGCAAAGTTTCAGTCAAATCAATATTGGCAGGTCCCCACCCTTAAAAAAAGTGATATATGGTTAAAATTACTGCTCACATAGTATAAAGCTCGTTAAAGCAAATTGTCTGGTCTATTTAACTATTACAAAATGACTACTAACAAGAGGATCACCTCAGGTGTCAGGTCGCTTTTTTCTCGAAACATACATGGTTAAAGATAAATTTTGATGCTAATTACGAATCTGATATTACTTCGTGTCCATCTGATCTTTCAGAGTGGATCTTCGGAGAACTAGTCTCTAGAGAGCGATATTAGAATCTAAGACAGACAAATTAAAATTTCTTCCTCTTGGATTCTAATATCGCTCTTTAGAGACTAGTTCTCCGAAGATCTACTCTGAAAGATCATATGGGCACGAACAAATATCAGATTCGTAATTAGCATAAAAAATTATCTTTAACCATGTATGTTTCGAGGAAAAAGCGATCTGACACCCTTGAGGTAATTCTCTCGCAAGAATTAGAGTAGTTTATCTTTGTTCTCTATACTGGTTTTTTATTTTATGTTACATGACTTTAGAAATTAACACTCTTTGCTTGCGATCAGATAACTCAAAAAATTCGGAATACCATGTTTAAAAATTAGTTTTTCTTTCATCCGTTCATCCATCTCATGAATAATATTTTTTTAATCAATTCGCTCTACAGATAACTCTTCACTAAGAAAATTGTCTTAGTTTAAATCACACAACTGCTGCTCTTTCAAATTATGACATTTCATCATGTTCCTGCTGTGTCATGAAATTCATATTTGTATTTAAAAATTTACCGTAAGAACCATTTTTAGAGAAAAATAATGTCTTTTTCTGACACGTAATTTTACAACTGTGACATTTGTAATTAGTACAGAATTCTTTTTTTTTTTTTTGTCTAAAATCATAAGACGAAGTTCCTCATTCAAGAAAGAACATTATAAACTAAATTTATTTTACAACAACAACAACCAAAAAAAATGACCGATCGTGAACGACGCCGAATATCAGTATTAAATTCTGCGTTTAGTGAACTTCGTACAAGAATACCAAAATTTCCGTATGAAAAACGTTTATCAAAAATCGATACATTACGTTTAGCTATTGCTTACATTGATTTCTTACAAGGTTTAATACAATCAAATTTATCAGCAAATGATTATATATTTCAGTGTACAAACGGTTTTGTTCAATCAAAATGGATTAACTCAGAACTTGTTTTAAGACTAAGATGGATCGATTGGCAAACATTGCAGATGAACCAATAATTATGGAAGGTATGCCATGAACAGTGATAATCCATAGTTAATGTTTTTTATTGTAATATTCTTGAATCTATTAAAACAATAAATTGATGTTTGATACTGATGTAAGATAAAACAATGGAATAATAACAATTATCGCATTATTTGAATCAATACCCATGCTTTCTCAAAAGAAAAAGATAGAAAGAAGGCAAAATTGGTTCTAGTTTTATTTCTATTTTTTTGTCTAATTCACTTGATACGATTTTGCTGTTCATCTACACCTTTTAACACCTATTAATATAATGTAAATTTAACGTTAAATATATCTGAAATTAATTTTCATTTCAATTTTCATTTTCAATTAATATTTACTGTACTAATAAAAAAATTCTTCACTCTCATCAATTGTTTTATCTCTTAGAGAATGACGTGTAGCCATGCTGTTTTTGAGAGACGATTGTCCTTGAATATAATAATCCGATAACATATCTAACGGCGTTGATGGTGGTTGTTTTGGACTTGGACGTTGTAATACAGTATCGATATGTTGCCATATATTAAATTTCATCCATTTATCCGATTTAGATGAATGAGAAGTTGTGATTATTGTTGATGATGATGCTGGTGTACTCAAATAATCGTACTCATCATCATCTTCGAATTGAACAGATTCATTACGTATTATGTCTAAATCTGTTGCCAAACGATGTTTTATTTGCCGATGATGACTTTCGTTTGATAAATTATTTAAAACAGTTGTTTGTCGAGTTTTTAATGGTAAACGTGAACTAAGAATGGCTAAACCACGATGTGATGCATGTGTTCGATCTCTTGTTAATTTTTTCTTTTCGAGATTAAGATGTTGTCTTGTTTCAATATCGGCCAATGAAGATGATTTCGATTTTGATAATGGATGTAAATAGAGCCGACGAGTTAGAATATGAGATGTATTTGGCGATAGAGACATTTTATTAGTAGAAGAACGAAGATTTGTTATACTTTGACAAAGTTCTAATAATGTTAATGTTTTAGGTTTTATCGTTTGAGTTGTCATCACTTCTTTTTCCATAGTAAAATAAAATCAATGTTCAATAATACAATCTTACCACATAATTAGTTTAATTTAGTAAAACGTTTAAAGCAAATTAAATTACAAGTTTTTATTCCCAGTGGTTGTTATTTTTATATCTTCATGTCGTCTCATGTGTGTTTTTCTTTATCGATTATTGTTTTGAAAATAACTGGTGTGAACTTTCAATTATGAAGTCATGTTTTTGTTTGTACTAGTAATTATTTCTCTCTAGAAGAAGAATGGAGAAAAGTGAAAAGGATTTGGGATGAAAACAATGAAAGAGTAAAAAGAAAAAAACACAACAATTATTCGAATGTAGTTCGTTCGCGTGTCTGAGCGCGAATAACAACAACATAGTACAGCATACTAATAAGACCACCAGTAATAATTAGACCAATGATCATGGCTCCGATAATAAATGAAGTGCCAAATGAATCTTTATTGATATGTGTCACTAGTGCACTATTTTTCATACTTTTTCCTAAAGGTATTTCAACTGAATGAGACCATGCACGAATCGGTTGCACATTAACCTTCTCACTGCAATAACATTGATCTTTTGCTTTCGTTAAACTATCATGCTGACTTATACAAAAATTTCTTAGTTCTACTTTAGTATGCTGAATATTGCAAAATGTAATCGATAATGTTTTATTATCGATAAAATCCATTTGTGTACAATACAAACATGAATAGCCAACTTCTTTTGGATTGTCTTTTGTTCCCTTAGATGGTACATGATCAAAATGTTTTACGCTTAATATTTGACTAATTTTTGTAATGGGAATTGAAGTTGGTGTACAATGTGAAAGATTTGTGAAGAGTATTGTATGCTGATCCCAGCAAACTAGAGCAAAACACACATAAATTGCTGAACAAGATGTCATTTTGGTTTGTGAAATGGAAACAGTAGAAAAGTTGCGCATAAAACTGTAGATAATAATAATAATAGTGATGCTTTATTCATCAAACAGAAGAAGTTAATCACCAGCTTTCTCTATTCATTCGTAGCAACATCAAATACGTTATGCTAACAGCGCGGATTATTTAAATTGAAAAAAGAACGGGAGGGCATAAGACAAAATGTGGAAATATTGTTAATCTTCGCTATATTAATACCATTATACTTATTACCTATAAATAGAAAGTGATATAAGACTAAAAAATTTTCCTAAACATTGAATTACAACAAGATACTGAGCAAAATGGTAATGGTGACCTTTGTGCCAGTCAGTCCGTTGTCACGCTTTCTGGCCCGATCGGGCAAGGTTGCCCGTTTCGGCAAGATGTATTGCCCGCACAGGCAATATAGTCCGATCGGACAAGGAGTATCTTACCCGTTTTGGCAAGATTTCCACACTTTTTTCTTTCAACGGAATAGTGCATAAATTAAACCTATAGCGCATGTAGGCACTTATTATTATCTTGCCTGAACGAGCAATATTGCCAAATCGGGCAAGATAAATTGCGCAAAATTGAACTATGTGTGCTATTCGTCTCTGTTATAAAACGGAAAGAAGGTTGAGCCCTTAACTTTAATATACGGTGAATAATCAGTGCACGAGGAGCAGAATGAACACTTCCCGCCCATTAGACGACTGATGGTTCTCGAGATCAGACCGTGCCCGAACGAGCAAGTTGCCCGTTCAAGCAGTATTGCCTGATCGGGCAAGTGACGACGGACTGCCGGTTCATCCTGCTAATTATTGCTCGTTTGCTAAACCATCCCAGCTATTGTTATATGTGTTCCGATAATCGATGTAAAACCAACAATATAATGAGTGGTATAGGACATTAAATGAACTGGGTTAGCTATCCAATTTCCAGAGATAAAGATTTTGAGATATTTTATATTCCGATAAAAAGGCACCTTTTAATTAGTCTCACTTTTCGACCTAATGTTCAACGTTTTATATGAAATTTCTAAATGACAATTAGAATTGAGAGGAATTTTCACTATTGTATATAAGTAAATCATACCTGTTTATTTTTTCGATCTCGTCTTTATCTGCATATTAACGATGGAAAGAAAACAAAAATCCTTTCCTGAAAAGAAAACCTTTCTAATATAAGGACCCATCTGGCATTTTGCACGGATAATGACCAAAGCTTTTTGCAAAAAAATTGATTAATTTTGTACCTAACTAAAATTCCTTAATTTGACAATAACTTTATTACCAAAAACTATAGTAGCAAGGCATATTAGAAAAAGTTTTTTAATTTTCTGCAAAAATTGTCTCTGATGTTTTATTTCAAAATACGAAACCGAAAATAATATTTCTGTAAAGTCTTTCAATGGCAAAAAAGTAGATTCAAAAACAATTTTTTCACTGTATCTTCAAGCAATAGAAAAGCGATTAGCCATGTTGTAGTCTTTGAAAAACTCAATCTTTTATGTGTAATCAAAAATTTTTCACATCAAAATTTATCACAGAAGAGAACTTATTTCTTTTCAGAGTTTGAAAAAATTATTTTCATTCTTTATTTTCGCCATAATCGGTAAAACTAATATAATTCAGCCGAAAACTAATCTTTTGAGTTCGTTTTTCTATTTTAAAGACGAATAATTACATGTAAACACTAAAATTTAGAATAAACTCTTGTTTTCTGATATAATGAACGAAAATAATCAAATTTAAGTACTTTTCCCGAATCTTAAGAAATTAATGTTTATACTGCATGGTTATTTGAAACACATTGATTCTATGAAATCTGAATAATGTTAGGCGAATTTAGAGTGACTGGGTTGAAGAGACTGTTGAAAAAAACACATTTTATATACAGGTCGCCTTTTTCAGGGCATTGGTGCCGATGCTCATATCTCCACGAAAAATCATCAGAAAGTTTTGGAATATGTCTCCTTATGACGAGAACACTTTCTTCTATCAGATTATCTATAACAAAACATATTGAATGTACCGGAAAGGTGAGGAAAATTTACGAAAGTAAAAACTGAAGTTTGTTTAGGCTTTTCAGCAAAAACCATATCACCGGAACAAAAATAGTACAGTTGGTTTTGAGTTACTGAAAAATGCCTTTTCGCATCCAGCACACTGGATAACACAGAAGATTTTCTATTTTTGGCCAGGGGCATTTTCAAAAGTTTAGGAAAAAGTTTCCATGAGAAAATAATATTAGTTTGAAAATTCTTCCTAAACTTTTGAAAATGCCCCTAGCCAAAAATAGAAAATCTTCCGGGTTATCCAGTGTACTGAATACGAAAAAGCACTTTTCAGCAACTCAAAACCAATTTTATTTTTTTTCCGATGATATGCTTAAGAAATTCATAACTTTCTCAAGGAAGATCGTGGAACACTCGAAGTGTTCTCATTTTCTAGCCCACACTTCTTCTGCATTAAGTTATGCACAACTCAAAATTGAAAATTTTTGCAAAAAAGAGGGGTCAGTCACCCTTAAAAACCGACAGTATTTTAATTATGCTTCTAACATATCATGTACGTATAAATGTTCATTCTTTTCTTCTGTGCTCTTTTTTCCTTGTTTTCCATTTCGTAGGATAGATGTTTAGTAGCACTGACTTCCGTTACATCAGATATTTGTATAGCAGTAGCGGACAGCACTCTAGACCATACTGACGACAGATGACACTAGATGTTGTTGTGCAAAGTCTATAGAGGCTTTATCAATTTTTAAGTGGTTGAAGCTAGAGAGAAAGACACACAGCGATAGATTGATGGAAACAAAACTGCACTTAGGTTATGTAGCGAAGTCTTTTAATATTGAATACCCATACGTTGATATAAAAACATGGAATGTATAAAAAGCCGCACTAAAAATGTGTTTTTCTAGCTATGTTGCATTTTTCTCTTGGACTTCAATGTCTTTGCTATGACATAAAGAGAAGACTCAGTTTAAACGTTTTTAACGTCAACTTTTCCTGTATGCAGTTTTTCCCGCGCGTAATAATGTCACATTTTTGAAGTTTCAGTAATTTGTCTAGATATTTGTAAACCAGTTTTAAGAACCTGTCACTTTGTGAAAGATAATAATTAATTAATTAAGATTAATTAATTAATTAATATATGTTACCGTGACTTTTTACTTTATTCTTCATCATGGTTTTCCTATATACTTTTTTGTTGATCTATACGCTATAAGAAAGAATTTCTCTTCTTTGTTCATGTTTTGAGAGAAAGTGAAGAACGAGATATTCAGAAAACTCTATACGAAGCATTAAATAACGTTGGTTTGACACTATTGACTTCTTATTTCTAATCTTGTAATTGAACTTCAGAACTAAAAGGAAGTGAATCAGTTCGCACAACTCTGTTTCGATTCAGTTGCTTAAAGACTTCATGATAGGGGACGGAGCTTGGCTTCTATTTCAGTGAACAGCAATCATCTATCAGTGGTACCAATGAATGTTCGTTCTTTACCAAAAATGTGACATGCTAGGCTACTTCTACCAGGAATTGTAGCAAGGAAAGTGTTGCCTACAACGGTGAAGATGTGATATTCTAATAAGTAAAACATCCAAAGAAAAACTGAAAAATTAGTTTTGCTGGTTAAACGTCTTACCAAGAAAGTAATTTATAAAATGTATACTCTTCTTCGTCACTTGTTCACATTGTTCAACTGAAAAGTGGGTCGTCTGTTTGCTGGAGACTACACAGTTCGTATTTTTAGAAGATGGGTATAAGACGAGAAGCTGTTTTGCCAATAACTGGTATTTTAGTTTATTTGGGTATGGATATTCTCTACGTATCTTTAACAAAACATATTTATATAAAGACAGTAGAGACGATTCAAGGAGGAAGCAAAATGGAAGTTGATTTCACAGCAGCAATTTTTGCCTATGTAGTAATGGCTATTGGTTGGTATTTCATTGCAGTTCAGTTGGCCCAACTTTATTATCAAAGAGTTTTAAAGAAATTTCCGCAGTGGCAGACTATAATCTCACTTCTTGTTGCTAGTTCCTTATCTGGTTTCCTCTACGGTTTTACATTGTACGGCGTTTATAATCTGACAACACGTGCCCTTTTTAACGATCGATATCCTCGTTCATTACTTTTCCAAGATTGGGCATGTAAGGTCATTTCTCTTTATTGATTGCAAATACATCACAATCTTTTCTATCTAATGTTTTCGTATATATTTAATTGTTTTAGGGGGTACTGGCTTTAATTGTGTACTAACAACGATATATATGCTTATTTGGAATAGATTTAACGAATCGAATGCGGCGTATTAGTTTTCGTGAACTTGTTACAATTTCCAAGCATTTTTCTTTCGATATATCTAGAATCTCTCTATTTTCCATATTTCAAAAAGTAATGATGATGATCCAATTATTTTGTTGGACCAATTATTTTTTATTAAATTTTGCTACAAGAAAATTTTTGCAATTATATTTTTTTCTGTTATTAACACAGTTGATTTCTATGCTGAAATATCAAAGAGTCGATTAGGCTTAGAAACTACGTTATAGTTTTCGTTTTCCTTCTAGATTTTAAACTTATTAGATCGTTTTTATCTGTAACAGATATATGTTCTAAACGCCATAACTAATGTCACGTAAATTTGCTTCAAGACGTACACTCGAGCAAGAAACTCCTGTTGATAAGTAAGTGGAGGCAAAATAGAAGAGATAATATAGTTGTCTATTCTCATCCTATCGGCAAATGTCTAGGTGAAGTTGGCAAGTCCAAATCATTTTTATCTTTATTTTAGTCTCGATAGTATGTGTTCTCAACGATCTGTAGCTGATGTATGTGAAACTGGTGGTTTAACAGATCAGGCTGTTTTAAGTGGTGCTCCTTCATCAGGCGTTTTACCTGCAATGATGGAAACAAACGATGATGTCAATGGAACTGGACCAGCAAACACGACTGCGGAGAAAGCAATAGATGATTCGACGTCAACAGCAGCCACAGATCAAACGTCATCTCATTCCCTTGGTTTACCAAAACCAATACGTACGTTGAAAGATTAGTTTAATCATTTTTGTGAAAAAAAGATATGCTCTTTAGATAAGGCTCTTTTGGAACTGTGTGTTTTGATTTCACTACGCTCGAGAAGAATTTCCGCTTTTACTTTCTATGTAAAGAGTAGATTTGTACATATATTCGTTTTATTTTTTGTAGCAACAAATGAAGCTGATTTTTTATGTACAACAATTGAAGATGTTTCTCATGTTCGCTTTGAATGGACGGTCGAAGATTTTTATCCACAAATGTATGAATGTGGTGACATGATTCAAAGCGAAGAATTTCCACCATATGATTTACAAAAAGAATATTGGACACTTCGTATATATCCAAAAGGTCATCAACGTTTTCAAGCACTGTCTAAAGATCAATCGGCACAAGATGAAGCATTGTTATATTTAACATTGTGTCCATCCCATTGTGCCTCACAAACACAACAAACCCCATCATCAACAACCGGTGGTTCGAATGTTGGTCCACAAAATGGTCCCGCTTCATCAACATTAAATAATGCAAATCATATTGCATCATCATTAATGAATAATTCAAGACAATTACAAATTTATTTTCGTGCATTAATCAATTTTTCTAATCCACAAGGAAAAATTTTTCATCAAGAGATAAATCATGAATGTGGTGGAAATATTGTTGATGAATTAATAATAATGAAAATGTCAAAACAATTATGTGAACAATTATTCAAAGATTTAAAAGATCATCTAATTATATCATTAGAATTGATGTCGATCGACGATTTGTATAAACGTAGTATGAAAAGTACATCAAAAATCTATTCGGATACGTCAAGAGTTGTGTCAAAAGTGATGAAAATGAAATTACGTTGGAAAATCGAAAAGTTTGCAACATTAGTCACAGAATCACCATCACATGGTTTTATTGAATCATCGGAATTTAATTTTAATAAACATCGCGCTACTGGTACAGCAACGGTTGAAAAAGAAAAGGATAGTTCAACAGAACAACAACAAGGTGATGCAACCGATGATCAACAGTTAACAAATGGAAATAAAAAAGAGGATCAACAACCGTCATCAACATCGGATATTCCACCTCATCAATGGTCATTAATATTGTATCCATCCGGTAAAACAGAACGATTTAAAGAATCATTATCTGTATTTCTTGAACATACATTTGGTCCAAGTGTACGTGTTGTTATACGATTTTCTTTGATTGATGCTCGTGGTCGACGTGTTAACACTAAACAACTACCATCACATGTTTTGGCTCCTGGTGAGAGATGGGGTGTCGGTGATTTTATTAAACATTCAACATTATTACAAGCACAACAACAATTATTTCCCGGTAATGAATTGAGATTATATTGTCAGATTAAAATATTAGAAAGACAATCAATTGATGAACGAAAATATTTGATTCATCCAGCAATGAAAACTTTATTACCAAATGTTAAATCAATTCAAAGTGGTTCAAATTCATGCACAATCATTGATGATCCAGCAACCTATTGGTCAAGCCTATTTTATACGGCTTATTTGGAAAAAAAGTTATGTGACATGTTTATA